AAGTTCAACCCTCACCTCTCACAGCCATGGCTAAAAGAGGGCACCCAGGTAGGCTGTCAGTGAGCAGCAACTGGGCCTCAGACCATTACTAACAGGGCAGTGACATCCTGATTAGATCCAGGACTCCAGCCCTCTGGAAGCACTTTCCCATGTATCTCCCTCTGTACATGCCAAGCCTGGATCACGTTCGGATCAGGTGCATCAATAGACGAGTAGCCTAGGAAGGACTCGCTGATACATCTGGATCTAAACTGCTGGGTACCACCCACAGGGTCTCTAAATCGAGTGCATGCCACCCACAGGCCCTTCCCAGCCTCTGCCCTTCTCCCTCTCCCAAGTGAAGCTTTAGTACCACAGCACGTTGGTGTCCCACAGCCCGTGCACCTGCCTCTGGCCTCAATGTGCCTAAATGGATAGCTCTGATAAGGACTGCTCCTCAAGCAGAGGGCGTTAGCCTGAGTGTGGAGGAGGGGGAATTCTAAACAGATAAATACATACACTGAACACCCTTCCACCTTGTGTCATTGGATCACAGAGGTGCCTAACAAACATGGCAAGGATGTGTCTCCAGGGAGTGGAACTATTTGAAAGGATTAGAAGGATTAGGAGGGGTGGCATTGTTGGAGGAAGCGTGTTCTTTAGTTTGGCAGCAGGGCTACAGCTGAGTTGTGGGGCTTTGTCTAGGTAGAAGGCTGTGTCTAAGTGTGAGGCTGTCTTCGTGTGGGGGATGTGGCAGGTTGTGGGTCGAGGTGTAGGTATAGATCCATGTTGAGGCAGGAGCTTATGTCTGATATAGGACTCTGTCAGGGGATGGAACTATGTCACAGTGTAGTGCTGTTTGCTGCTGTAAATTCACTGGGACCTGGGAGAATGGAGCCTAAACATGAGGCAGACTGAAATCTCTCTTCGGAGTACCAGTCAATTTCTGACTCTGAGGGCTCCGAGGATTCATATGAGTAAAGCATACAATCACAGGGGCAAATAGCAAAAGCACATTTTAACAGAGGCTGTCAACAAATAACAAAGGCCAGTTTTAATGAATAAAATGAAGTAAACTCATTGCTTTCCCACACACACGGCAGAGGCATAAAGCACATTCCAGAACCATTTCATGTTTTTGAAGGAACTGACATCACAAGACTTTCGTCTTTGTTTCCTGGAGCTTTCCCACAAGCACTCAGAGGTCTTCTCACAGGACTCCCTTTTCGGACCGTGTTTCCACATAGTGCCATGTTGGATTCTGTCTGGGTATTGTGCTGTGTCTTGGTTAGGGATTGGCAAATGTCTTCTGCTGTGTCGGGGTTGGTGACAGGCATAGAGCCAGGCCCTAAGGGAACACCAGGTCCAATGCCTCTCCCCGCATCAAGGCCAGTCGGAAATGTGTCCCTCCTATATCTAGCAGGTGGGCACCTGGTGTACTTTGCCTCCCTACAGAGGTTCAGAGCTGAGGGATGACAAATTTTCAGGGTACAGGAAGCCACGGAGCCTTAGTGGAGGACATGTCCAGGTAACAGATTTTCAGAGACCTCCTAGCTACTTAAGAGTCACAAGGAGGGTCTTCACAGTGGCAGATGGCCAGAGAGGGACAAAGTCTCCTCACAAATGGTGGACAGTGATGACAACAAGAAGGCATCCCAGAATCCCTTGCCCCTCAACCTGAGGTTGGAGTAAGTCTGGAAGCAATGGGGTGTGAGGCATGTGAACCATGAGACCTGGGAAAGTACTTGGGAGTTTTCCAAAGGCAGTATAATCTGGTAGGGTTGACAAGGTTTCTCTGTGTAATGTTGGCTGTCCTAGACTTGCTTTGTAGACCAGGCTGGACATATATTTATAAACCATTACTTGAGATTCATTTCACCAGATATTTTGGGGATGGCAAGACCTATCTTGCCATCCTGACTCTAACCCTCTCAGAATTCCTGTCACAAGTCAGAGACCAAGGTCCCACTAGAGGGAGGGGCTGCAAGCCAGGGGGACATGCTGTAACCACAGAACCCACAGTAGAACATTCTCTAAACCTAATTACCAAATGAGAGGAAGCAAACGGCCTCCATGGTTTTTTGGTTGTTTTGGGTTTTGTTTTGTTTTGTTTTGTTTTGTTTTGTTTTTTGACAACTTGGGATTCCAATCTTTCCGGCTCCACTTTTCTCTGCTCCCATGGAGCCAAGGCATCATAAGACCACATCCCAAGACGAGGTTTCCAGCAACCTGTGGAGCCCTGTGAGCCCAGCACTGTCAGGCCACAGAACCGCCAACTCCTACAATCTTTGCACACACAGTACACCCAGGTCCTCACACACTGGCACTCTCATAAGCACAGAGCAGGCATGCCTAAGCCTAACACACACTTTCTTGCACACAGGCATACACACCCTCACATTCACACTCATGACGTTCACACATGGGTACTCATACACATGCACGCACAGGCACATACAGGCCTTCAGTCCCACACTTGTACATTTGGGTACCCATTGGCATGTCCATGCATACTTGTACATGCAGACACTTATGCATACACTTCTACACACACACAGACAGGCATGAGACATACCAGAGACTCACATGTGTGCATTCTTCTTAGGTATATTCTTGAGGCCGCATGTAACAACATAGACGGTGCTGCTGTACAGAGCTAGAATTTAGGTGAGAATTTTATGGATGTGGGTGGGGACTGACAGATACACCCCCCTCCCACAGCCTGAAGCTTTTCCGTTTTCTTGTTTTGTTTTTGAGATAGGGTTGTGCTTTATAACCCAGGCTGGCAACTCGATTCTCCTGCCTCAGCATCCTACATGCTAAGATTATGGGCCTGTGTTACTATGACCAGCTTGGAGCTGTTTTAAACAAGAAAACTACCACCAACATTTGCAAATATGTGAATAAGGTAAAATAAAAGTCCACAAAAGGCCGCGTACTTAGGGTTAGCTGCCGATGAATGGGGAATGCTCAGAACGCTGTCCCACTCCACCTCAGCTGGGAGTACACACCGAGCTAGGGCTCAAACTAGTTTCTTTTCTGTGTGGGTCCTGGAGTAGACTGCAGTGTGACGATGGAGTCGCTAACTTCTCAAGCAGAGTCTGTAGGTAACAAGGATCCGTGTTTTGCTGTCAGCTTACGGATCTGTCTTGATAAAACTTGGAAAACACATGTGTCCTGGAATGACAGCTGACTGCTGGCTATGACTGCTCGTGGCTGGATGTCACTGGCTATTATTGGGGGTGATCAGCTGTCACTGTGGCTCCCTTAGCCATATGGGCGCAAGCAGAGAGAGCAATTCGAGTCCCCCACAACAGCACTCGCTCAGGTGGCCAGCAATCTTGTTTCTGATCATGGGAAGTCTAAGTGTCATGTTTTTCATTTTTAGCTTTCTGTTGATGTTTTTGCTTTTTAAAACAGACCAGAAGGTAATTTACAGGGTGGAGCGTAAACAGCAAAATGAGCCCTCACCTTGGAACTCATACCAGCTACTCAGCGCAACAGAGCTATTCACAGCTTGTGTCCCAAGGCACAGACTCCCTAGGGGGTAATGCGGAGGTCAGCTGGCACAAGGGTGCATTTTCAGAAATACACATAGACAGAGGGTTGGAAGCACAAAGCAGGCAGATGTCATCTGTCACCATAGGGTAATCATATCTAGGGCACAAGCAGGGTGACTTGGGTACCCATCCGACCTGGTGATACACTTTCTGCTCCATCACAGCCTCCACACAAAGATGTTTTGCCTGCTTTTGGAACTTTTTCCCTCCTACTGAGTTGCCTCATCCAGCCTTAATTAAGGGATATGCCTGGCATTATTGCAGCTTGATAGGCCATGTTTGGTTGATATCCTTGGTAGGTCTGCCTTTTCTGAAGGGAAATAGAGGAGGCATAGATCTGGGAGAGAGGGGAAGTGTATGGGAGGGGCTGGGAAGAGAGGAGGAAGAGGAAACTGGTGTGGGGAGTGTATTGTACAAGAGAAAAATAAATTACAGAAAAAAAAACTATGCAGAATCTCCCTTCAGGTTGTTGGTTGAGCTGGGACCCAGAGACACTTCCCTGCAAAAATACAAGTATTGCCATTGCTCTTAACTAGATTTTGATGGTAACACCCTATTGCTGGAAATACCACACACACTGGCCATAGGACATGGAGTATTCTAGTGGGTGCTGACCTGAAAACTTTCTCCCTGCTGGCTAGCTATCTCAGTACTAGATGCTGTGCAGGCTGCTGCAAGAGAAAAATCATCAGACGCCTTACCTAGCTATGAACCTGTCAGCTAGAACAACCACTCTGGCAAGATGGGCCCATCAATGTAAGAGGCATGAATGTTACAGTAGTAACAATTACTTTGTTTGGATTTAAGGTCCACTCTACAGAAGCAAACTCCTGCCTGGTACGGTAAAATTATCAAGAGCCTGTGGCTGGGAGGTCACAGGCCATAAAGAACCTGCTACTATCATTTTGCTAAATGGACACAGTATCAAACCGCCTTCTAAATACTTCTCTTTATGCCCATGGATTAATGTAGTCATATTCTTCATCAGAGATGTGGACAGCAGGACTCACGGAGATTCACACTGGTCAAAGTGCACAGAAGCGCGTAAGTAACTAACCCTACACGTGACATCAGGGGTGTATACATCACACCCTCTCTCCCTCAAGTCTCCGGGAACAACTTTCAAGAGAGTGACAGAGATTCTGCAAGAGCCAGAGGTCAGGAAGAACTGCAAAACAGTGTCTTCTGGACATGACAGAGGGCTCACAGGCCTCACGCCTAGAAAAGGACCTATCGGCAGCTGATGGCTGCTGGGGAAGAAGAGGGTTTCCTTTAGCGCAGCCCAGTGGAGCCCCTGGCAGGCTGCCTGTGCTCCAGGGATGGCCGACACCCACATTACCTTTGGGCAGCTAACTAGATTTGGTGAGATGGGACACTGGGAGGAAGTCTTAGGGAGCAGGAATAGTAGTTATAAGGGAGAGGACAGAAGTGGATATGATCAAAATCCATTATACATATGTATGAAATTCCCAAAGAATACAAAATATTTTATTTACAAAGAAGTTATCCAGGGACCACGGAGTAAGCACTGAGAGCTAGCTGTGGAGGTGTACAGACGTAGGCCTATGGGATCTGTGTTCAACTCTCCGGCCCCAGAGGCCAGGCTGCCTGTGCCAGTGACTATGAGGTAATCTGTCAGCGATAAGATGTCATTTACCTTTAGTTATACATGAATGTTGGAGAAAAACTGGTGAGTTAGGATAGGCAATTAATTGCATAAATAGCTGAAAAGCTACTGAACAGGAAGCAGCTTAGGACGGCCTCCAGCAGGAGCTCCGCCTCCATCAACTGTCTCTCAGGTAGATGCACATTCTGCTCCAGTGTTCTTCCTGCAGTCCATCTCCCCAAGGCAGGGGCAGGCAGCAGTGAGGCCTCACCCCTAGTCCTGTTCTCTTTTGCTACAGAGCCCCGGCTGGACCCTGTCACCTCCAGCTTCTGCTTCCCATTCTTCCTCTCCCTCATGGGTTTGGCATTCATAATCAGTGGCGCCACCAAACTCATCCTCGTCCTCCTCACCCAATAGGAAGCTTCTGGGGGACATGTCCTGGTGCTTGCGGGATGATACCTTCTTTCTCCTGAGCGAACGCGTCAGCTCAGGTACCAGCTCTCGCCCTGACGGTGGTGCCAGGCTCATACTCAGAAGCCCTTTCTCCTTCTTGCGTTTGTACTCCATTATTTGCTTATTGAGTGCCTCATGGTCAATGCCACACAGTGTTGGGGGTGTGGTTGGTTCCTGGGAGTCATGTGGTGACAAGGCATTGGGGTTCCTGTGGGGAGAAGAGAAGGCTTCACACAGAGCCCAAGCCAAACTCCAAACCAGGGTGAAAAGACCAAAACATCTGCCCAGAACACTTGCTACGTCTCCTTGCACTTCTGATCCTGTCTGAGGGAAGCAGGGATGTAAACAGGCGGTCCTGGTTTAGGTTCTTCAGAGTCACAAGCAGTGCTGAGGTGGCCATGTGCACACACCCAGCTTTCATCTTCTGAGGATAGTTGTGTACCAGCAGCCGCCCAGAACTATGCAGACATGGTCTGGACCCAAGGGCAGGGACCAAGGGGGCAATTTGGCCTAGTGGAGGCACAGACTGAGCGGCTGATGGGGCTTAAGCTTCTATCACGGGTAACAGAATGATGTCCACATGGCTCACCTCAAATCATCTTGTACCAAGTCATCCCTTTCATCTGGGGGTCCAAAGTCAGCCATTGCGAGTAACCGATCCACCTGAAAAGAAAGCATGGGGGATGGTAGGCCACAGCTCTTGCCCTCTGCTTCCAGAGTACAGCATCACAGCCTGACACACAGCCCAGCACAAGTCCCATGGCTTCAGTTAACACCACTGCAGATGCCTCCTCAAAGCAGCAATTCACACCCTCATTGTTCCAGTAACCTGTCCCATGTTCCCTGACAGCAACAGAGCCTCTAGAACTCATAACATGAGGCAAGTCTATGAGGAAAACAGACACTGGTTGAATTATGTCACTAATATTTCCTGGTTTCTAAAGTAGTTTCTCAAAATGATTCCACTTTGCCAAAGATTTGACTGTTTGGGAAGAGGAAGCTTCTAGGATGGCAAGAACAGATGTGAGGAAGGTCACAGTCACAGCCACAGTAGCCCACTCTGTGGGGTCAAGAAGCCTGAACCGAAAGCAGCCACAGAGGCAAGGGGATATCTGTGAGTTTTAAGTCAGCCTTGTTAACATACCAAGTTCTAGGCCAGCCAAGGCTACAAAATGAGACTCTCTCTTAAAAAAAAAAAAAAAGAGAGTAAATTAACTAAAACTTAAAATTTTATTCATTAAAATTTAGTGACTATAAAAACATATAAAAGTAAAGTATGAAAAGCTAATTTTTGGGCAGGAGAGATGGCTCAGTGGGCAAAGGCACTTGCAGCCAAACCTGGTGACCTTGTCGGATCCTCAGGACAGGCACAGTAGAAGGTTGTCCTCTGACCTCTATGCCTACTATGCTGGCTAGTTTTATACCAGCTTGACATAAGCTAGAGTCGTCTGGGAAGAAGAAACGGCAACTGAGAAAAGGCCCCTGTGGCTTTTTCTGGCCTGTGGGCAAACCTGTAGAACATTTCCCTAATTAGGGACTGATGTGGGAGTGCCCAGCCTGTTGTGGTGGCACCACCTTGGGCAGGTGGTCCTTGGGTATATAAGGAAGCACCATGAAGAGCAACATTGCCACATGGTCTCTGCCGGATTACTGTCCAGTTTGAGTTCCTGCCCCAAGTTCCCTCACTGATGGACTGATATGGAACTGTAAGCTGAAATACACTCTTTCCTCCCCAAGTTGCTTTTGGTCATGGTGTCTTATCACAGCCATAGGAACTCTAACTAAGGAACCCCCACATATAAAAGTGAGTAAATAGGGCTGGAGAGATGGGTCAGTGGCTGGGAACAGTGGCTGCTCTTCCGGAGGATCTAGGTTCAATTCAGCACCCACACACTAGTTCTTGGAATCAAATGCCCTCTTCTGGCCTCAGGGGGAATATATACATGTGGTGCAGACAGACAGACAGACAAAACACCCATACACATAAAAATTTTAAAAATCTAATAGATAGACAGACAGATAAAAGTTCATTCTGGTGTACATGAGATTTTTTTTTAAAGGCTATTTTTTTAAAAAGCTCACCTCAGCCAGCAGTATATCTTTTTTGTCTTGAATAAACACTATGGGTGGAACATTTCTCAGGGTCTGCTGAGACATCAAAAGGTGCCTGGGGAGAGAGCACATGATGTTTAGTGGAGGGGGACCAAACGCAAACTACATCAAAACCACAAGTGCACCAGGCTGGAAGGGAGACTTGCTCATTATGGAGGCAGGAAGGGAAGGGAAGACAAATGAAGGGGGGAGAAGCAAAGCTTTGGTGAAGCCTTCTTCAAACAGCCTTATCACAGAGGAATACAAGATGCACCGTGCCAGAGTTGTTCTTCACTCCCCCCGAGGTGGCTGAGGCCTAAGGAACAAGTAGTCTGAACTGGACTCACAGCACCCAGTACTCAGTGCACACTCCCTGAAAGGACTGCAGCCTGACATCCCTGCATGCCAGTGATGGGGACTCCGATCTAGTCATGGGATACAGAGCATCCAAATAAAGTCGAGGCCCTGCAATCCCTGGAGACTTTGACACCGAATTCTGAGCAATCACAGTAGCCTCAAAGAGACATAACTGGGCTCACTTTCTGACCGTCTCTAACCAAAACCATACTTGGTTAACAGTAAAAGATGAGACGGGTCCTTCTTTGATAGTTGCAGACATTCTCTGAGGAAATGGATGCCCAGTGACCCTTGCAGGGAACACGACACAGTACACAGATGGACGAACAGATGTGCTGCACGAAGCCCTACACACAGGGTTCCAGCACAGTCTTCTTCCTGAGATGGGGCAATCTGTCAATCTGTGAAGGGAGGGGCTAGAGGTACAGGGAGGAGCGAGGTCTATGGGAAGCCTCAGGTTCTGAGATGTTGAGATGTGTGGCCACCTGGACTTGGGCTTTTTTTTTTTTTTTAATTTAACTGAATAAACTGAGTGTACTGGTTGGTTTTGTGTGTCAACTTGACACAAGCTAGAGTTAGCAAAGACAAAGGAGCTTCATTTTAGGAAATGTCTCCAAGAGCTCCAGCTAAAGAAATTTTTTCAATTAGTGATCGATGGAGGAGGACCCCATCCCTGGGCTGGTGTTCTGAGTTCTTTAAAAACATAGGCTGAGCAAGTCAGGGGAGCAAGCCAGTAAGCACCATCCCTCCACGGCTCAGCAGCAACTTCTGCCTCCAGGTTCCTGCCCTGTTTGAGTCCCTGTTCTGACTCCCTTCAATAATGAACAGTAATATGGAAGTGTAAATGAAACACACCTTTTCCTCCATGTCATGGTTTCGTCACAGCAATAGAAACCCTAACTAACACACTGAGCAATGTCATTCCGTCCAAGTGGCTCCTCAATTTCAAAATCTTGGGTCTCAGGATTCTTTACATTCTTACTGAAAATAGCCAACAACTTTTGTTTATATTGTTCTATTAATGTTTATTACACTAAAAATTAAATCTGTTTGTCTTAAAAAACAAAACAAAAAGAAATGTTAAAAGTTTACCTACAGACAAATGACCACACCACTTAAGGTTCAGTCAGAAGGCAGTACTGTAGAAAACAAACCCCATTACCTCATGTAGGCAGCACTCCTCTGCAAGACAGCTTCCGTGTGCCTGTTCTGGTCCGCAGACATGCCTATCTTCCAGTATACTCGGCAGGCTGAGAAGTCTGACGTCACAGAGACCTGAGGTGCACCCAAACTACACATCACTTTCGGTTTCGTCTTCACAGTTCACACAGTATGCTGGAGATATGAACTACAGCTTCTTTTGTCCCTTACACCCAGAAAACTGTTCTGGTGATGCCAGCCAGAGACATGGAGAAGATGTCGGTTCACAGACACACAAGCTCACATCCCATTCTCCCAACTCAACCCCGGGTACCCCACAGCACTGCTCATAGCAATCTCTCCAGATGCTGTAAACTGGAAATAGTCAATCATCACCTGTTTCTTCTGCTGCTCAGCCGGGTCTAGGAAAGATGGAGGACTGGACTCCTCACTGTCTTTGTGAAGACAATGGCAGACTGGATTTCACAGCACATTCCTAAATTACTTCCGATACTTTGTCTTATCACACGGGTCCCTCACCCAGGAGAGGAAAAGTCCGGCCTCCGCACCTTGACCCACAACTTAAAGCAGATTTGGTACCACCTCTGCAGCCCTAAAGCAAGACCTTAGGTGTGAGGCCTGTGGCCTCCTGCCCCACACCCTGACCTGTGCTCACCTTGGAGAGCTCCACATTCAGGTCATAGAGCTCCTGGCTCACTTCAGGAGTGCACAGCAGTTCCGTCAGGGCTTTGTAGAGAAGGCCGTTCAGCATTCTCAGGCGTATGCTGTCTTCTTTCCGAGTCTTCTTTATGGTGTTCTTCATGAGGAACTCATACTTGGACGGCTTGTGAGTCAATTGAGACCCCAGGGATGGACCTTCATACCAAAACTTCTTTCTATATCAAGAAAACAAAAATTAGATTGGGGGCTAGGGGTGCTAGAAAAATGGCTCAGTGGTTAACAGCATTAGTTATGCTTTCAGGAGACCTGGGAACAGGTTCCAGCACCCACATGATGTCTCAAAATCACGGTTCCAGGGAGTCTGACACACTCTTCAGACCTCCACAGACACCCAGCATGCATGTGGTGCACGTAGGCAAAGTACTCATAAAATAAAAATTTGGGTTTTTTTTTTTCCTTCTGGCCCTGAATGTACCAACAAAGCTTTAAAAGTCATTCACACAGGCCAAGTGGTGGCAACACACCTTTAAACCCAACACTCAAGAGGGAGAGACAGGCATGGATCTTTGTGAGTTAGAGGCCAGCCTGGTCTACAGAATGAGTTCCAGGACAGCCAGGGCTGTTATACAGAGAAACCCTGTCCCAAAAAAACACATACATACACACACACACACACACACACACACACACACACACACACTCATAACTATAAAATAAATATTTAAAAGGGGGTGCTCTTTTTTTTTAAATATTAGATGGGATAGTTTTGGAAAGTTAAGAATAAAGAGCTGCATGCACTATGCCAGAGGCTATGACTCCAGGTGTAGGGTGCTTTCACTGGGCATGTTAATGGGAACCTAACAAGCACTGAAGTTTAATGGACAACAATATGGCTGTGGGGGTAAGACAGAGGCATCTAACACAGCCCTGTAACCTTGACTTGCGTTCTATCTACAGTGGAAGGACAGACAGGCCTTTAGATTTTTGTATCCAACTCATGAAGCTAAAGGTTGATGATTCATATGTGCTCCACTGAACATTTAGGAAATTGAGGGAAGCCTCACTTAACAGAAGGGTGTGCCAGGAGAGTAGGGAAAGAAGACAAATGCTTCAGATAGGTACAAAATGCTTGGAAGTAGAGGGACCAAAGGCCACATATACCAATAAAAGCGAGCACAGCTGGCTCCCAGACCATGTTTCCAGCACCTTCCAGTAACCTGGGCTCCTCATGAAAATGGCTGAGTCTTAGGATTGAGAGGGGCATATGTAAGGTGAGCTTAAGACATCTTGAGGTGCCACGAAGTAAGAAACTGTTAAAAAAAATATGGCGTATGTCAAAAGAACAAAGGGTTGAGAGGCTGCTGATGGCTAAAGATGGAACACTTTGAGCAAAATAAAATAATCGTTGATAGCCACAAGTACACACTAATGAATGGGTTAATAAGTGAAGGGGTACATCTCCCACAAAGAATTCCAAATAATCTATAATCATAATTCCTCACCTCTTAATGTCAGAAACTCCACACAGCAACTTCCTACCAAAAATGGCCAAAGGAACACCTGACGTCCCAGAACTGTGGGACGCACACTGGCTATGTATGCCCTTGATAAGACAGGATAAAATGGTGCTCTTCCTGTTACTTTCTCAAGGCCACTACCCACATATCCCCATGCACTGCTTCATAAACCTGTAAAATCATTTATCAAACCCGTCCCCAAATATAAGCTGGTTACCACCCTTACCACACCCTATGAGGGTGTGGAAATCAAAACTTTTTTTCTTGTTTTGTTTTTGGAGACAGGTTTCTCTGCTTAGCCCTGACTATCGAGAACTCACGTTATAGACCAGGCCGGCCTTGAACTCAAGAAACCCTTCTGTGTCTGCCTCCCGAGCGCTGGGGCTAAAGGCGTGCGCCGCCACTGCCCGGTGAAATCCAAGCATTTTATCATATCTTTATTACTAAAACTATGTAATTAAGACAAATTTTATGCAATGTGAAGCTTCAGGAGGCTCAAGACTGTACAAAAAAAAAAAAAAAAAAAAACCCTGAAAGTGTGGTGGGAACGTGAAAAGTGTCCAAGGTCAAACTGCAGGTGATCTGCCAATCATCATCCTCGAACATGAATATAGGTAACACACAGACATCTGTCCCCACGCTCTCGGCCCAGGCCCTCGTGGACTTCTGCTCCCTGTAGAAACCGACTCCATTCAACCGCGCACCAGGCGCCCAGCCCGCAGCGGATCCTGGACAGTGCATACCTGGTTTTGGAGGCAAATTTCTTGAGCAAGTTCTTGCTGCCACAGGAGGCGACCGAGGTATGCAGGGCCCGCGCGCGGCCGGGAAGAAGCACGGCCCCTTGGCGGCCCCGTAGGGCCTGCAGCCGCGCGCAGGAGCCCCACAGCCCCGCGACCCCGGCCCACATTCCTCCGAGCGCGCGGCCCGCAATCACGAGTGGGCGCGCGACTGCTGTGACCCGCAGCCGGGCAACAGGAAGACCTCGGTCGCGCGTGGGCGGGGCTAACCTGACATGTGGGCGGGGCTGCGGCGCCGAGTTATGACTGCATTGTGGGCGGGGCGCCCACAGTGTGCTGTGTGGCCAGGGGCCCCAACCACGTACCTTTTTTTCCCCCACCGTACAGTTATTTTATTGTTTACTTATATGAATGTGCGCGTGGGACACATACACGTAAAGGCAGGTGCCGCCCGAAGCCAGAGGAGGGCGTGCCATACCCTGGAGCCGGCCGGAGTTAAGAAAGTGGAGAATTGCACGACGCGTTGCTGGAAACCCAGCACTCCTCTCTGGAAGAGCAGCAAAGTGCCTGAAACAGTTTACCTCTGCAGCCCCACCAAGCTAATTTTAAAGCAGGGTCATGGTGACAGTACTGTAGTGTGCATTTCAGAAAGCAAGAAGGGTTTTTGTTCGTTTATTTGATTGTTTTTTTTTAATCCTTTTACCACTAATCACGGAACAAATGCTTGAGGAGACAGTCAAGCTTAACATGACTCAGATATGCAATGCGCCGTGTATGGAACCAGGATATGGTGGTCATCAAGATAAGAATGTCTCTCGTATTTTATGATTGTTTTAAAAGTGAAAAACTAAGACGTCTCATCCAGGCACTTTGGAGAGGAGATGGAAAGGAGAAGAGCCTAACTCCACTGCAGTCTCCCGAGGACTCCATTCTCTTCATTACTGCCGTTAGTTTTCCTGCTCTCCTTTTCCCTGTCGTGTTCCCTCAACCCAACTCAAATAAGCACTCATTTCATCAGTGGGGAGAAAATTTAGTACAGGGATGTGTCCAATTTTTAACAAGAAGAAAGGTGACCCACCAAGAAATTAGTAGATCTAGCCCAGAGTTTTCACCCAAATTCAAATTAAAAACAAGCCTTGTGGCTCAGGCCTGTAATCCTAGCAGTAAGGAGGCAGAGACAGGTAGATCTATGTGAGTTCTGGGCCAGCCTCGTCTATAAAGCAAGCCCAGGACAGCCAAGGCTACACAGAGAAACCCTATCTCAAACAGAACAAGACAAAAAAACAAAACAAAACAAACAAGCCTGTGTTTTCACTTAAACCTGCTGTTTGTGGGCTGGGCTTTTGTCGTTGTCAGTTTTTAAGGGTGATGGGCTATTCTTTCAACTCTTTCTCCAGGTCATTCTATTCCAGGTAGCAAGGGAAGTAAACAATAGTCAGTAGGTGCAGTGCTTTAAGTAATCTCACACACACAGAAAAGTCAAGGAATCAGAACCTAGTCATTGGCCTTTTCTGCCTCCTTCCATGTCAGTAGGGTGTGAACCATTCCGAGTAGCACTGATGTTTTCCCACATCAGCCGAAGGGCCTGCTGCAGGGCAGCACACTGGAAAACAACCACAGCACAAGCGTGTGAGCGGAGTGATTGGCTGTGTCCTGCTTTGGCATTTGAATCCACCGGGAAAAACCAGAGACATACTCAATCCAAATTTAGATTAAATTAGTTTATTCTTACTGCTAGCAGAAGGATAGAGGCATTAATGCCAAATGGCATGGAAGTTAGGTTAGGTGGGTTCTTTAAGACAGACGTCAGAAAGGGTGTGCTTTACCGCTATCCATGGAATCCTCAGCCAGGCAGGAAACTATTTTACTTCCCTCAGTTGTTTATTTCTTTCCTGCTTTATAATAATAAAAAGACCATTTTGCTGGGTAGTGAGGTGCATGCCTTTAATCCCAGCACTTGAGAGGCAGAAGAAGAGGCAAGCAGATCTCTGAGTTTGAGGCCAGCCTGGTCTACAGAGTGCATTTCAGGACAGCCAGGGCTGCACAGAGAAACAGAGAACATTCCATCATCCCTTTCCTGTATGAAAGTTTGGTTTCTTTTATGTGTTTTTGTTTGTTTTGGTCCCGACTATGGGATGTGGAAATGTTTTTTGTTCATCCCCAGATGAAAACAGACACATGAGAGGACACGTGATCTTGGTCAGCTGAAAAGGTATATTGTGAGGGTTCATGATGTTTTGCTGAAAGTTGTTTTGTGCAAGGGGTGTGGTTTTTAACAGCCTGTGAGGATCCTGAGAAGGGATAAATAGAAGCTCACAGACAGAGAGACAAAGCAAAGAGAAACGCTCTAGAGAACTTCTCATGGCACTCTGGCTGAGTCTTGTTGCTCTCACTGACTTGTTCTGATTTCTGTGGATTCTTGCCATTTCTGCTGAATCATGCTGCTGTTGTTGATTGGTGTTGCCATTTGGTGTGGGCTAATTGACTGGGCTTCTGATATCTGGACAACAAGGAGTGGAATCACTCCAAGGAACTATGTCTATCATGGTCCACAAACCCATTTTTTCTAACAACTTTCTTTCTCCCCTACCTCTGGTCAGTGGGTTGAAAGGGAGGTAGAAGTGTTTAAGAACCCTAAATAAAGTAGGTTTTTGGAAAATCTAAGCCTATACTTCCCCACAGTGATAAGCAAGCTGTACAGAAGCAGAGGCAGCTGTTACTATCTCACAGTCAATTATTTCTTATCTCACAGGCCACCAGGATCTCCCAGGCATTCCAGAGCAAAAGTCAACAGTCCATAAGGGATCCTGGCGCCATGTTAAGCGGTTTTCAGCCATCACAGGGGACCTGTGTAAATTATTACTCAGGTCTGAGTACTCAATGACTGGGATAGAACCGTTTATTTCTGGGCAGGCAAAAACACAGTGCCATGAGGTTAGGGCTGACTATCACACCCCCACAGTCCAAACAAACTTGGAGTCCTCCCCCAAATAAAACCAAAGCTAGATGTAGCAACATTTGTCCATAGTAACATATAGTAAACAGACAAGTGATAGTTATATGGGAGAGGTATAGAACATCCCTGCAGCCATCTGTGGTCACTCACAGTTGGAAGGCTGAGGTAAGAGGATCCCTTAAAGGGCCGGGTAGAGCTACAGAATTAGATCTCAAAGAAAAAAAAAAAGGAAAAAAAAAAGAAAATTGCTTATAATTCTTAATAACTTGCTGTGATGAAACTGAATTGTACTGTGGGAATGCTGGTATATGGAATAACTCTTCCATATGAATATTGGTGATCAAATGTGTTAGGAGTTTGAGATAAAGCTTTAGCCTCAAGATATTGTATCAGTGAAAAATGAATAGAAAAATGGATCTAGCTAAGTTCTGCATTAAATAGTTCCATCTAAACTCACTCCTAGTATAGATACTAGGAGATGAAAAGGTATGGTGATCAAACTTGCTCGAAAGTATAAAACTGAACACGGGGCAGGGTGATACACACCTGTGGTCTTCTTGGGAAAGGGGGGCTGAGGGTTTGCTTTATAATTGGCACATAGACACTGCTTTTGCTAAAAAGCACTATCATCACTCTTAGGCCCACAAGGTAACAAAGAGCAGGATGAAAACTGGCATCCCTGCCTGCATTTTACATTTCTCTCTTTTGTTATAAAACTATGGGCCAGGTTCCTGCTTAACTCTGTATGTAAGTCAGTACATTGGTCACTCAAAGACTATATATCTAAAATAAAAATATAAATAAAATGTAGCCTGCCAGCCTCCTTCAAGACTAAGCAGCAAAAATAACAGTAACTGATGCATTCTGCTGTCAGTATTGACAATGTCCTGTCCCAGCCTACCCTACCAAGTCACCTGAAAGACTCAAGTCATTCATTGCCCTAAGCCTGATGATGAAAATGATACAGGTGAAAATAATGTCGATAACAGAACTCCGAGAGTCATCTGCAAAGAGCTGTGCACACTGTACCAGAAATAGATGAAAAGCCTGTGTCTTCCCACAAGGTCAGAGGTTATTGAATAACAATAGATCCACAGCTATATTAGTTTTGCTGTTTACTCATTACCAAATACTCATGGTTTCCAATAGTTTATTGGCGTATTGCTTATACTTTTACTCCAGTCTCAATACTCTTCAGTCACACATTACACCACACACATAATGTATGCACCAATGTGTGTGTTTTGTGTGTGTGTGTGTGTGTGTATATACACGTGTGCATGTAGGTTAACAAAAGCTACAAAAGCTTTAAAGAGGTCCCAGAGTTGAAAGAGGCCTTCCTGGAGACAGAAGCAAATGGCTGATACAGAAAGAGTCACTGCAAGTAGCTAGAAAATATAAGAAAGCATGTTGGAAACCTGCTGGAATTTCAGAGCTGACCTGTAGGGTCTCAGGTATGAAAGTCTGAGCTGACCTGAAGATTAGAATGGAGCCACAGACCCACTGGTCTGCGGAAAGCAAGACAAAGCATTATAGCGGCAAGGCGCCAGGCTAGTGTCCAGACGGAGTAGCCGAAGGGTGGAGGATCACAGTTGTATTGGGCCCCACCAAGCAATGAGATTTGTGCTGCAATGAAGGTGACACAGGCATCCAGGAGGTCTTTGTCTGTTAACCACTTGGAGCACACACTAGATCTCCCAGGGACATGTCGGAAGGGCTGTAGCTATTGCCATCATTATTTCAGATGTCCTTTTGGCTATGGGGGTCAAGTGGGATTGTTGCACACACACTCTTTAGTCTAGTCTGTTCTGTACGTTCTTAGGCCTGGTTTTTCTGAGACTGTCTTAATAAGCCACTGTGCCCATGTGTTCCCAATTTACTTTGATACATTTGCATCTGATCTCTTTTTCAGTTATAGAAATGTAATAACATTTTTTTTTTTTTTTTTAATGTGCACCAGTATTATACGATGCACTCTGGACAACTTAAACCAGGGTACCCTGCCGCCCGCGCGGGGGCGACCGGGACCGCGTCCCCACCGCGCATGCGCGCAGGGCGGGCGTGCGCCTGCGCAGCAGCGCTGAAAAGAAAACGTCAGCACGTACCGGCGCGGGAGGCGCCAGGACTGCGACGAGGACTCGGTGGTCCGGCCGCGTGGGCTCACACGAGGTTAGAGGTCGCCCGGTGTGGCCCCGTGGGGCTGGGGCCGCCGGGAGACGGCCCCTGCGGACGTGGAGACTTGGGGTGTGGTCCCGGTGCGAGCCGAGGCTCAGGGTGGACTTCGGGCCCAGAGCCAGCGTGGTGGTTTGCGGGTGGCGGTGGCCCGCGCGGTCTGCAGCGGGGCCTTAGGCAGAGAGAGGTTCTGGGGTGCGCGATGGGGTCTCGGGATGCGGGTGTGGTCGAGAACCCACAGTTCTTTGCACCCACAGGCAGCTCGCGGCGTCCGGCCGCGCGGGACTGCTCAAGATGTCGTACATGCTTCCGCATCTGCACAATGGCTGGCAGGTAGACCAGGCCATTCTTTCGGAGGAGGACCGCGTGGTCGTCATTCGTTTCGGACACGACTGGGACCCCACTTGCATGAAGATGGACGAGGTTCTGTACAGCATCGCCGAGAAGGTAAAACGTGTGCAGTGTTCGCTCTGCTGGGCCCGGCAGCGCGGTTTGGACGCACCCTACTCCCGGGTGCCATGCCGACGCGTAGACCCACAGAGAAAGAACCTGGGGTTCGTGTACGGGGAAGGTTTGTGCCGGAAGTGGTCAGGGTTTCCCAAAATTTGAAGAGATTTATGATCTGCCTCCTAAAGTAAGTGACTCATTGGGATGATGAATTCTGTTGCTCTGATGATTGGGGAAGAGGATTGCACTGGGATCGCTTTTGTATGTAATCGATTTTAAAAGAATTTACCAAGGCCATGTGCGGTGGAATGAGAATTTAGTCCCAGCACTCTGGAAGCTGAGGCAGACTTACCTTTCTGACTTCCAGGCCAGTCTCAAAAAGGAAGTTAGTGTATCACGTGTGCATAGTGAACAGAATGAATTTGCAAGCTTTGTTGGGGTTCTGGAGCTTACTTAAAAAGCTTAGTTTAACAGGATTGGCCTTTTCGTGGTACATTATTTACTGTATTTGTCAAACAACTTCTAGGTTGTGACTTTTTTAGCTTTTTTTTTTTTTTTTTTTTTTAATCTTTTTGGGGAGAGAGGGTAAACAGATTTATTAGTAGCCCAGGGTGACTTTGGACTGACTTTCTCCCTGCCTCAACACAAGTCCTGGGATGATAGGCAACCTCCAAGCACTTTGTAAGTTGTCTAATTTGTAGCTTGCAGGTATTCAAATACAAAAAGTGTTAGGAGAAAGTTAGAGTTGTGTTTGGGTAGAATTGGTGTTATTAATTTTTCCATTTATAAGCTGAGTGGCAGTACATACTCTTTCTGTGAATTCCTTTTGACCAGTTTTGGAATGACTTAGGTTTCTGTAATTGTAGCAGTAAGGCAAATGGAAAAGACAGTAAAGTAATAAAATATTTCATGATATTATTCCATAAGTAATTTAAATATTCTTTTGTTGTGTTTTTTGTTTGGTTGGGTTTTTGTTTGTATGTTTGCTTGTGGTTTTTGTTTGTTTTTGTTTTGTTTTGTTTTGAGACAGGGCCTCCCTAAGTAGCCTTGGAACCCGTGTAGACCAGGCCTAGAAGTCTATTGACCTCAGAGTCAAATACCTGCCTTGGCCTCCACCTCCCAGTGCTAGGATTAAAGGCGTTTGCCACCTTTCCTAGCTTGAAAATTTGTTTTAAAGAAGAACAAACACTAATAGAAATGCTGAAAGTGTTTTTCCTCTCACAAATACTAATGGAAGCTGGTTTAAAGTAATTCTTACCTTTCAAATGACTCTATAGGATTATCATTTCATTTACTTGTGCTGTATTTGAAGCCAGGCCTTGAGCCGCCAGGCAGGTGTCCTACCCCTGAGCCACAATCACCATACCAAAGAAATCCCGTGGAGTAAGACCTAGGAACGTCATATGCAGCAGAGGCAACACTGATGGTGTTCCATGGGTTGGTTGCTTTCTGCTTTCATATTTAGGAGAGAGCAAGGGAGAGTTCCAACACCCAGTTATATCACAGGTGTGTTTGGTAGTGCTTCTATATACCCTGTTGGTCTAGGCTGAGGCCCAGGGAATTGAGGAACCCCTCAGTGGGGATTGGGCTGCTCGGCCATCCCTGTCCTGTTCCTCTTGCACTCCAGGATTGTGAAGCCCTGAGGGTGTGGCTAAGGATAGGGCAGGCAGCGTTTTTCTTCCATGCTGGCTGTCCTACCAGTCAGGGGCAAGAGGTGAGAGTAAGGTGGTTGGGTCCCTTAGACAAAGGCAAATGCTGAACCTCACCGAAGCATCACTAAAAGCAAGTTCGTTCTGTTGAGTCTGCAGCGGATGGGGCACCTGTTCTTAATAGTCCTAACCTGAAGGTGGCATGAGCCTCATGGGCTTCACCTGTCCAGATGGCTGGGAGTGAGGCCCTTGGCTTTTCCCAGCTAAACAGAGCTTGGGATTTGCCACACTTGTTCTCTTCTCTTCTCATTGTACTGTCAGCTGCAGTTGGTGCCTGTCAGTTCTAGACATGCATTGTATTTGCTATTGGGCTCATTAATTAGTCTCCTTTAAAAATATTTTCTTAAAGCTTTAAAATTGCTTTTCTTTTTGTTCTTTTGTTTTTTTCCTGCGACAGGGTTTCTCTATGTAGCTTGCACTGTCCTGGAATCACGTTTTAGACCAGGCTGGCCTCAGACTCACAGTGAGCCTCCTACCTCTGCCTCTCTGAGTGCTAGTATTAAAGATGTGTGCCACTGTGCCTGACAAATTGCTTTTTTTTTTCTTCCTCTAAAAGTTTGATTGCCTTCTTAATAATGCCCTCACTTTTTAAAACTTTGTGCTGCTGGCATGCTAGACAGGTGCCCTCCAGCAGTCATCCTCAGTTCCTCTTCTGCCTCGTTATTCATTGAGGCAGGGTCTTTCCTTAAAACTAGAGCTTGCCAGTAAGGCTAGTCTTGCTAGGCAGCTTGCTCTAGGGAACTGGAGTCTTTCATCTCCCAAGACTAGAATTACAGATAGGCCACCATGCCTTCTTGGGTTTCTGGGGATTTGAACTTGGCCCCTGCAAGCTCTTTAACCACTGAGCAGTCTCTTCCATGCCCTTAATAAACTTTTACTATGTTTTAGCATAGTAATTAAAAATGTAATAAAATAAAACAACTATTAAAGTTTTGCTTTCTAAGTATAATGGCAAGTATTCATAATTCTGGAAACTCTGGGGGAACAGAAATTTTTGAAATTTAAGATTTTAGTATAAAGAACAGTATAACTATTTAAAAATCTCCCTCCGCAGAAATGGAAGATAGTGGGAGATCTTCCTCATCTTGTTTGAGTCCTGTTTGGATATCCCAGCTGTTTTAAAGTGAGTAAAAGTTTGTGTGTTCAGGCCGGACTTGAGTGTCCTGTTTCTCCTGTAATGTGTTGCATTAGCCAGTGTGCTTCTTCCTCTCACAGCGCCGCCTCTGCCTGGGGCTGGGCTAGTTTTGAGGTAAATATTATAAGGAAGAAAGTGGTAGGGAGCAGATACACTTAAAGATCTAGAGATTACTGAGTATATTCTCTGTAAAATGATTTCATGCAGTTTTGCAGAGAGACTTTCATATACCTGTGATTTCTTCCTATCAGGTAGGAATCTACTTTGTAACAAAAGTGCTTTAGGGATCAGTATTCTTAATACTGTGACATGCAAAAATAGTGGCACAATTTTTGTGTGTTAAAAAGCCCATGCAGGTGGCATTTAAAATCTCTTGAGGGATATATTGACATGTGAAAGTGTGTTCTCAAAGTAACGAACACATATGTTGTGGCTGGTGAGATGGCTCAGCAAATGGAGGCATGAGCTTCATATGCAGTTTCCTGTCAGCGTGGCTGGGAGTGAGGCCACACAGGAACCAACATCAAGGTCAAGGAAAGAGCCAAGTCCACAAGTTCCCTGACCTCCACACGTGTGCCACAGAATATATGTACTGTATGTATACATATTATGCATACAGATGCAAACATGACAATGCTTAAGGAGTATTAGGGAGCCTGTCTTAGGCGTGACAGTAGGGATTGAGTTTGGTTTTTAGAAGTCAGCGTTCAGCTGGATGAGTCTCGGACACAAGCTATGGGTTTTGAATGGCCCAGTAGCTGACAGTGGTTTGGGGCTGGCACTGACAGAACATGTAGGCTTCAGCCGGGCACTTCACGAGCTGGTTGGACAGCCTCTGCTAGCTTGTGAGAGGGCTAATGAAGCTGTTGTGGGTCTAGGCAGGTGAATGTAAAGGTTTCTACGAGTGGTGAAAGTATGACAGGCAAGTGTTGTGATGTGGAAGAGTTCCCTGACTCGGGTACGTGCTTGCTGGGAAGCACATAGAGATGTACCCATGCTTTCTGAATTCTAGCGTGTGGGAAATAAACATACGGGGCATATACAAAGCAGTGTTTTCCCGTTTAGCTTTAGATTTTCAAAATGGTTATTGGAGGAAAAATAGTGGACATCTACTTTAATTTCAGTATGTAAAACAGGTGACAATTTTAGTGAACTACAAATTGGCAAATGGATGAGAGGAGGAACCGTGCTGCTGATTTATATTTTAGCCCACATGCAAGCATGAGCCAGAGTCCAAGCAGCCGCTGCTTTGAAATAATTGGCACACACAGCTGTTGCAGATAGACTCCAGGAAGGCTCGGGAGTTAGCACGGGCCCAGGACGTCTGAAGCTGTGCTGGTACTTTCTTACCTACCTGCCACACAAATAAGCAGAGGCCCCATCCTCACAAAAAGGATTTCAGTCTTGGCCAAGACCCTCCTCCCAAGGTCTTGTTGGATGAGAGCCTCTCAACGCTTGAGTACAAAATTAAGATTGTGTAGTTACGTTAAGGCTGCATAGCCAGGACTATCTGTTAAATCCATATTCTTCAAAGATACATTTGTAATGACAGTGCTGTGTTTCTTGAGTTTTGAAATACACCTTTGTGTCAATTCCTCGAGGCAAACGGTGTTGGTGTCGCTTGTGCTCCGTGGCATCCTCTCTGGTTCTCCCGAGTCTGACAGGCCTATCTGCCGCCAATATGAACATCCGCCGTGCTCGGCCAGATGACCTGATGAACATGCAACACTGCAACCTCCTTTGCCTTCCTGAGAACTACCAGATGAAGTACTATTTCTATCATGGCCTCTCTTGGCCCCAACTCTCCTACATTGCTGAGGATGAAGATGGGAAGATTGTGGGTTATGTCCTTGCCAAAATGGAAGAGGATCCTGATGATGTCCCTCATGGACACATCACTTCACTGGCTGTGAAACGCTCCCATCGGCGCCTTGGCCTGGCCCAGAAGCTGATGGATCAGGCCTCACGGGCTATGATTGAGAACTTCAGTGCCAAGTATGTGTCCCTGCATGTCAGGAAGAGCAACCGAGCAGCCCTGCACCTGTATTCCAACACCCTGAACTTCCAGGTTAGTGAGGTGGAGCCCAAGTACTATGCAGATGGAGAAGATGCGTACGCTATGAAGAGAGACCTCTCACAGATGGCAGATGAGCTGAGACGCCAGATGGTGCTGAAGAAGAGCAAATATGTGTTGCTGGGTTCCAGAGAGAACCAGGAGAACCAGGGCAGCACACTCCCTGGTTCTGAAGAAGCTTGTCAGCAGGAGAACCTGGGTGGAGATGATAGTGGCAGTGACAGCAAAGACAGCTTGCAGGACTTGGACTCTACTGCCTAGACCCTGCTTGAGCATTACAGGTCCTTGTATTTTAGCCACATTTTTTTCTTGGGAACCCTGTGCTTGCTGTGATCTGCACTACGTGCTCCAGGGTCATCTCACGGTGACCCCAGTGCCTTCTCATTTCCATGCTTAGCAGCAGCCTTCCACTTAAAACTAACCTATGTGATCATGACGGCACATCTGCACACAGGACCTGCTGTGCAGGAGCCGGGGAAGCTTGAGGACTGCCACGGCAGCACCTTTCTTGGCTTCTATGCTGCCCTCGTACCCTGTTTACTACTGCACTGATTGTGTGTATCTTGCAGGTTTCCTCCTTGAATGCCAAGCAGGAAGTGGGGACAACTCAAGAAGATCCCCAGCTTTCAGCATTTGCCATTATTTTCTGGGTCTTATTTCTTGGAATAGGCAGGACAATCAAGTTAGTTCTTATCCCCTGAGCCCCTATCTGGTGGAAATTGCTTACCCTTGCTTTCTCTGGAAACTGCCTTTGCCCTGCCTTCCCTCTTTTTGAAGAAGAATGTTCCCTTTCCCAGTGGGAGAAGGTGGTAGGTATTGGACTTCCACAAAAGCATAATTTGGAGATGTTAAGGAAAGGACAAGCAGAAATTAAATTGCAATCTAACCTGAAAAAATAAAAATATTAAAAAAAGGAGTATACTTTTGTTGTGAGAATTCATTGGTTAGTTCTTACCTAGTGCTTTACTTGGTCTCAAGGCCACCTCAGTGGAGGTAACGAATTCCGCCCTTATGGGGCTCTAGGTTGAAGACTTGGGTTGCAAAGGGCGGTAAAAGGAACTGTGATGTCACTCAGTATATATACCTGGCTACTTCTGGATGACCTGCCATTTCCTGATTCAGTGGAGAACAGGGAAGAGGCCTTTAAAGAGGTTAACTATAGACCAGCATCTAGTGTGGAAAGTATGTTAAATTATTGAAATAGAGTATCTGTGTGCTTATTCATAAAACAGGTGAGGTTTTCATTTTTGAGAGAACATGGTTCCTCTATCAGTTTCTATATTGGGGGGACTGGAGAGTATAGGCTCTAAATAAATCTCCACTCTGAAAACTGCTGTGACTGTTCATTGGATTGGCAGTTCTGGAGAAGGCAAGTTAGTCTTTCCATTACTGATAATTTAATTTTAACTTTGTTGTAATGCATATGAAGTGTTAGAGTATTTCTGCTTTATGACACTTAATATGTTGACAGGCCATTAAAATTGGGCAGAGTAAGGCAGTGTGGTAACATACCCCCTTGATCCCAGCTCTGGAGCTAGAGGTAGGCAGATGTTGAGTTCCAAGCCAGTCTGAGCTACGGAGTGAGTTCTGGGTCTGCTGGGACTACATAGACTACCTTGTCTTAAAAAAGAAAACATTCTTGCCAGGAAATTGAGCTTTTATTTGTGAATGTTTTTACCTTAGCCCCTCATCTCAGTGCCCTCTAGGACCATGGGAAAACATGTTTGCTGTTAAGCACACATCTTTCCATCCCATAGAACAGAGATACTGCCCTGCCCTACCCTACCTGCCTATCCATCCCTTCCTCTCGTCTCCCATGGACTTCCTCATCTCAGAGTTGCCCATGATTGATAACTCTTCCTTAGAGTTTTGAATGCAGTTTTGCCCTGTTGTCTGTGACTGTCCAGAGTCAATCACAGAGCTTTTTAGGCTTGTCTGACTTCAGTTTTCAGTGACCTCAACACAGGTGCCTTTTTGTTGGTTGGGTTTTGATGTCCAGAGATTCCAGTGGCAGCCTGACACACACTAAGCATTGGGTCTGTCACCATGGTAGATTTCTGATCCTACATACACTGTTATGCTGTGACCAGTCCTTTCATGCTGCCCACTGTAGAGGGCTTCTACACTAATACTGAAGCCCCAGCATCAACACCAGCTGGAAGCAAATGGTGGCGGCGAGGTGCTCTTCTCCAGCCCAGCCTCAGGTTCATGCCAAGCACTTCCTTAGAGCCAGTGTCCACATCTGAGTTTGCTCATTTTGTACTAACTGCTAGATTGGCCCTGCAAGGAGAGATCCCTAATTTAGCTGCTCTCTTATGTCTTAGTCTTTTTCTTGCTTTTCTATTTTGTTTTCTTTGGTTTTTGTTTTTTGAGACAGGGTTTCTGTATGTAACATTCCTGCTGTTCTGGAACTCTGTAGACTAGACTGGCCTTGAGCTCACAAAGATTTGCCTGCCTCTGCCTCCTATATTTTGAGATTACAGGCTCAAAAGGCCACTGCCACCAGCCAGCTGTGTCTTTATCTATAGGTGGAGTTCTCGTTGCCTAGGTGACTTCCACCCTCCAAAGTTCTGTGTCTGCCTTTTCAAGCAGACAGTTTCCTCATGACTCCGCTCAGGAAATCTCATCCAGAGGCATTTGTGACAGACCTGGGTCCACGTTCAGTTCTGCTGTTTTCCATGGGGTTTGGGGCCACGGAATCTTTTTGAGCCTTAACTTCTCTATGTGAAGCACTAACAAGGTCCTCAGGATTATTGAAAGAATTAGAATTCATGAGGGGGGAGTTCCTTGTATGTGGTAGGTTCTTAGACACTTTGAGCCAGTCTGCCCTGAAATGCTACGAAAGTCCTTACAGTCTGTGTTTGACATAGTCTTCGTTTAATGATGGGCCAGAGTAAGCTTGAAGACAGAGGAAAACATTTGTGTCTTCAAACAGGTTGATGTTTATCCACTAAATGCCCCCATATTTAAATGGTTGTTTGGTTGTTACGTAACTGTATATGTTTGACATGGAGTCAGTTAGAAAACAGAACACAGCCTCCATTCCTAACCTGATGATTTCATGGCCTCCATCTGCTTCTGTAGTGGCCATTTTATTTCTAAATAAAACTGGAATAGAATGTGTTTACTATGAAAGCTACGTCCTGGCAACCTAGCTAATGGTTTCAGTGTGGATACGATGGGAGTGAGATGTGAACGTGAGCTCCAGCTACGGTGTGCGTGATATGTGAGGGTGCAGCGTTACTCCTGATTAATATGAAAGTATCCCCGTGCACCATAATGTGCAGATGGTGATGTACACACATCCCTCATGCACACAGCACATTCCTCACGTGCCAAGGCATGGAGACAGTGGAGCACACACATGCATAGCGCACGGTGTGCCACGTTTAAGATCTCCACGAAAGCTGGAGACAAGTGGAGGCCTTGTCAGGTGTAAGCTCTGTCACTTCATGGGATAGGTTTCATTTCCTTGCTAATTTTTGAAATGACTAGAGTGCAGCTAATGCCTGTCACACTGTCAGTGTGGTGCTCTCGTTTGCCTCTAGCCCTTCCATCGGAAGCAGATCTCAGGTGCCCTGCTATTCACCATAACTGGATTTCTGGGTGGGCTTTGTTTTTGTGTTCTGGGAATCCACTCCAGGGCATAGCATATGCTGTGCAAGTGTGCCACTGGCCTACATTCCCCAGCTGGTAAGGTGAGAGTTTGTTCTGTTTGGTTTTTTGCAGGTGGCTTGATGGGGGAAATACTGGGGATTGAACCTAGGACCTTGCACATGCAGCAAACTGTCACTAGGTTATGTCCGGACCAGCTGGTCAGTTTTATCATTAAGAAATAAGGGATATGGGCATAATGGTGAATCCCTATTTCAAAATTCTACAAGTCAGTGGTAATATGCTTGCTTGGTAGACATGAGGCCCTAGGTTCAATCCAGTGCCCCAAGCTATTCATAGCTAGGTGAGGTTGATACACACCTGTAATCCCAGTGTAATCCCAGTACTCAAGAGTCTGAAGCAGAAAGATCACAACCTCAAGGTTCCCTTGGGCAACAGAAAATGGGAGGGCATCCTATCTAAGCTCGTATCTCAGACAAACCAAAATGAACAGGTTCTGTATGTGTATTTGTGTTCCCTTTGTCATGTAGCCTTGTCCTTGATGGCAAGCCCTTACCTGTTGAGCAAGCTCTAGTCTTCAGCTAAGGAAAGCAATAACAAGTCAACAGTATTGACACCTCAGGGATGTTAAAGCAATTTAGGAAAGTAAATGGAGTTGGGCTAGGAGATACATTTTTCTATGACCTTGTGCCACTAGTGACTTACTTTCTCTGAGAGCAACTTGCTTGGTTCTTGTGATCATAAAATAAAGCAATATGTCAAAGACTGGGTAGGTGGGGTGTGCAGCACGATGGCTCAATAGCAGGTAAAAATATTTGCCACATAACCCAGATGATCTGAGTTCAGTACTTAGAACATCTCTGTGGTGAAAGGAGAAAACTGACTCCTGAAGTTGTTCTCAGACCTCCTCATGCATGCTGAGCAAACCCCGCAGCTGTGCACATATCCAGGGCAATCAGTTTAATCCTTTTAAAATGGAAATTGGGAAAGTAGATCAGTCGCTTTGTTGGTTGGTACCACTCCTGGTACTGGTGAGCTATCACTGCTGTCTTCAGTTTGAATGCACATCTTTAGTCCCCATGTCTCCCAGTCACTGTCAGGTAGCATTGTCCCTATAAATAGAGAGCAGTCTGTGGACTTGGGGCCCATTTCTTAGCCTTAACCTCAGTTGATCCTGACTGACTTCATCTGCAATGACTCTTGGCACAGTTCAACTATGGCATGTCTAAGTTCAACCGTTATATAGTATGCAGAGCATTTTTTAAGGAACGCATCACACTCTGTGTCTGAGGCTGTTTTAAGATTTATCCTTAGGAAATAGACACACAAATTTAAGGCCATGTGCGTAGTGGAATTATTGATACTCTCAGAAATCCAGGAAGAAAATAGCCAAAGAGTGCTAAAATATGGTATAGCCATTTGATGGAATAATAGGCAGCTAAAAAGTGGTCTTTGGTGGAACCTGTTAGAATGCTCACCTAGCATGCACAATGCCCTAGGTTCCAACCCCAGTGCTACTGAAAATCAAGAGTGATGTCATGCTGTAGTCTCAGCACTCAGGAGGAACAGAAGTAGAAGGTCATACTTGGCTATATAGCAAGTTGAGGCCAGCCTGTCTTAAAACAAAAATGTCTTTGGAAATTTATATGAGACTGCCTATAGTTGAGGCAGTGCACAGTATGATCACATTTTGTTAAAGTGGTATAGTTTTAGAATATAACTAAGAAAAGGTGGGGCAGAATTTAGCAAAAATATTAGCTGCAGTTGCTACTGAGTGGGATGTAAGGTGATTTGCTCTCATTTTTTTAAAAACATTTCCTGAATTAGTAAGTTTAGACTTGAGAATTATAGAAAATTCTAAATTATGGAAAATTTATCATGTGGGATCGTAACTGTTTGCAAGCATTAAAGCAAAAGCAGTGGATGTGAATGAATGCTTGAATTTGACAAGCATATTTAATGCATGTAATGAGTATTTGTCAAAGCACACATTTATAAAATGTGTGGCTCATTGGTAGGTGGGTGAGGGCTGTGGACATTTTCTGCAGAACTTTATTAACTTGACATCTGTGAGACAAGTTTAGTTTTTAAGTGACTTGGAAGTGTGTAAGTAGCATTGGTCAGAACTGGCAGCATGGTGTGGTTTTCCTCTGTCAGCTCTGTGGGACAAATATTTAATAACTGGTTGAAAAGTTTCACAGTCTTGTTTTGCTTTAATTTATTTTTATAAAATGAAAGCCAATGTGATTTTTTATTTTTGGTTTTTAAAATCTCTTTCTAGGTTAAAAATTTTGCAGTTATTTATCTTGTGGATATCACAGAAGTGCCGGACTTCAACAAGATGTATGAGCTGTATGACCCTTGCACTGTCATGTTTTTCTTCAGGTATGTTACCTTGAACTTGTTACCTAAGTGGAACACTGTTGCTTTGGAAGTTTTGATGGGACAGATTTTTTTGTTTAGAAGGAAGTCAGTTGTGGAGTTTTACCACAAGGCAATCACTGTGAATCTTTTAAATGGTTTCAAAGTAGCAATTCCAGTTTTAACATCACTCAGTAACAAATTACCCTTTTGAAATACTGTCCAGAAACAGGTGTGAAGTATAATTAAATGGAAGACAGACATTCTTTCTGGCATTTAAGATGCCTTCAAATAAAATCTGCTGGTGAACAAAACTTTTAAAATACAACTCATTGTTAAATATTGTCATTGACTTTATTTGGTGTCCTTTGATAAAACCCAACAAGAAAACCTGGACTTAAGTCAAGATTATGTCAGAAAGAGATTTGGAAAGACATCCTCTATTTGACACTGGCACTGCTCATCAAAAGTTTTTTCTATAATTACTGAAGAAGTTGGTATATAGTCATAGAACTTCAAAAGCAGATTGATAAGCAGGGTTATGTGTTTCATCCTATACACAGACTTAGCCATGTAAACTGTCTCTCATTTATGAACTCAGCTCTGGAGGGAAGGTAAGCACTGCCAGCTGGCTCCCTGGCAGGGTCTCACAGGCGTGACCTGTGGGCTGTGTAATTGCGGGAGTTCCTTCCGGCTGTCTGAGGCTTCTCTTCTTGCTGCTGTTGGTGGGAGCCACTCTGCTCCTCAGGGCTCTTCTACCCGAATAGGGCAGCATCCATTTTCTGTCTCTCTGGGTCCTGGTTACACAATCCTCTGACCCCCAGTTCTCTCAGAGGGAGGAGGTTAGGCTCACTGTGTGGGACTCGGTAATGCAGGATAAGCTCCTTTTTAAAGCCAGCCGCTGAGAGCTTGAATCTTGTCTGGAATGTTCTGTACAGTGTCACAGCTGCAGTCATGGGGTCACAGGAGGAATTTTTTTTTAGGATTTTTGTCTATTACTCCTTGAGATTATTCTTTCCATAAACAAAGCAGGACCCTCTACAAGGTATCTAAGGACCAGCAATTTAAAGTCCTCATTGTACAGATCATCCAAGTCAGCATGGCCTGAGGTCTGCAGAGTGACCCCCACAGCTCCAGGCATAACTCCTGTTACCTTTGAAGCTGAGACTTAAGTGACAGCTCCAGCAGTTGTGAATCAGAGGGATTGGGGAGAAACAGGGATCCTCTTCCCCACCCACACCCTGAACACACACCCAGTAGGGCCAAACTGTTTAGCTAGTATGACTTGGCATCACCTTCCTAGCTGTGTGCTCCCTCTGAGAAAGGATCAAACCAAGTCCCCTTCATGACTGGTGTTTGACCAGGTTGACCCATGTCTTGGAGCCACAATGAAGCCATTCTCTTCTATCCACATCCTCTCTGTCGTTCACACTTTGAGGGTGTAAGTCACTGGGTGACTTCTGATGAGCAAGGGGAAATGATGTTCCCACTTTCGATGCCTCCTAGAGGTGGGGGGCCACCCACCCTTGGGAGACATACCTACCGCTAAGTCCTGTATCTGAGTATGCTAAGCTGTGTTAGGATCTCATTGTCTGGAGAGGCTGGGAATTTAATCTTCTCATTGACAGTCTTGTGTGGGTTCATCTCTGCTCCCTTTACTGACATGAGAAAGCAGGCGGCCAGTCCTTGTTTGAAAGTGTCTCCTGCTAAATATACAAGTTCATCCCTGACAAGTTCTGCTTCTCACAACTGTGGGACAGTCGTTCCCACTATGCAACCAGAGTTCCCTTTCCTCCTTGGGAGAAACAAAGTCCTCACTTCAAGTGGGACAGGAGGGCCATCTTAGAGATGCAGTGATGGCGTGGAAGAAGGTTTCAGGGAACAACATTGGTGTGTTGCTAGGAGGTAGTTGGCATACGTGGGGTCAGTAGGACAGAGTGTACTTAGAAAAGATGACAGATTTCCTTTCTTCTGTGACCCAACATTGTAGAACAAATGTCAGAAGTCGTCAGCTTATGTCCAGTGTGCACACTGAACACCTGCAGGTGTTCCTCTTAGGGCTGGACAGACTTACAGCATCGTTGCAGAGCTGACTGAAGCCCATCTCACCCACGCGGGCGTGTGTAAGTGTACTGGTAGCACAGATGTACAGATAGTAAGCCACAGAACCTGGCGGGGCTGCTGTGGGTGTGGGGGGAGATGTGGGCTGAGGATGTGGAGTGCTACCCTGAGAGTGAATGTTTGACACAGAGGAATTCTGTTAAACCAGTGGATCATGGTCCTGGACTCTAGTTGAAGCCAAATGTGTGATTCTGTAAACGTGAAAAGTTAAACTAATAAAAATAGGCCTTTAGCAAACTTGGAAAAACAGATGCAAATGTAACATGGTTGACATCTTTATTTGAAAAGCAAAAGTACTGGTCCCTAAGGGGAAAAGCCTATCCTGAAAGACAAGTGACTAAAGGGCTATGTGCTTCCAGTCAAAGCTCACAAGGACATGCAAGGTCACCATTCTCAGCTGCTACAGAGCCTTTGCTCAGGCCATTCCAAGTCCCTGCAAGCCGAACACGACAAAGTCACACATCACTTTTTCAGGGAAACTAGTGCACCTCTCTGGAAGACTGCTTGTCTTTCCAAGTGATGCAGCTGTCTTTGGCCTTTACAGTCCACAGTGTGAATGCACAGTTGTCGGGCACACTGATGCCTAGCACTTGGGAGGCAAAGGTAGGCAGATCTGAGTCTGAGGTCTATATAGTGAGTTCCAGGACCAGCAGAGCTACGTAGAGAGATTCTGTCTCAAAAAAAAAAAACAAAAACAAAAAGAAAAAAAACAAAAATGCACAGAAAATATAGAGGAGGGCAGGAAGAGCATATATTTGCTGCCTTGCACTCCTAGAAAATAGCATTTAGTGTTTGTTTTCATTTTGTTTTGAGTGGTGGTCTCTTTCGATGGTCTGTGCCCTTAAGTAACAAGTGCTTAGAGCGGCCGGGAGCAGGGGCATGATGTGGAACCCTCTCTGTGAGCACTGCTGCTCTTTTCTCTTTCAGAAACAAGCATATCATGATTGATTTGGGCACTGGCAACAACAACAAGATCAACTGGGCCATGGAAGACAAGCAAGAGATGGTTGACATCATAGAGACCGTGTACCGTGGGGCTCGCAAAGGCCGGGGTCTGGTGGTGTCTCCCAAGGACTACTCCACTAAGTACAGATACTGAGCACTGCCCTCCCAGGCTGTGCAGAGGACACTGGGAGCCACTTCCGTGTAGACACACTCAGCTCTTCAGAGCCTTTGGAAAGGGCTTGCAGCACAACATGGCTGTAGGGCTGGAGGATCCTTGAGCTGAGAGTTCTGGGGCCTTAACTAGCTGAAGCAAATAAACATGGTGAAGGAACAGTAGAAATCTGCTGTGTGCTTTACTGGCTGTCAATGTCTGAACTCTTGAAGGGAAACCAAGGTGTTTGTCCCATGAGGCTGTGAAAAGTTCTGCAACCTCAAGTGGTTGCTAGAGATGTTGGAACAAACTACCACAGACACAAGGTGTGACCCTGAGGTGACCCAGTGTTCTGGGGTCCCATCTGAAGCTGTCGGCTGTCTGCACTGGACCCTTGGCTCTAGAGGTCACTGGCAGTCTTTGGTCATCCTTGGAATGAGGCCCATTAATGCTTTACAAGCTGTTTCCTCATGTGTTGTCAGCCTCAAATATCCCTAGTCATAGGAGCACCAGTCACATTGCCCGAGGGGCCCACCTCACTTCTGTACAACCCATCTTGACTCATTACATATGATAACCACTCTAAATACAGTCATGGTGTGAGATACTGGGTGTAAAACATCCATATCTGACTTCTGGGGTGACATCCACAATAGGATCCAGTCCTAATTTTACTCAGCATGTTAAATAGCAGAGCAGGCTAAGTGTTATGCAAGTCTGAGGCCAGCCTGCTGAGCTCATCCCAAAACACAACTCCTAAATGTCAAGCCTCCCTTTAGTGATATTCTTCCACTCTTGCTCAGACTGTGGCTGCATCATGCTTCCTACGGAGGTGGGCCCCCGAGTCTACTTCAGTTTTCTTTGTTTCTTATCTTTCTGGTAATATGGAGCGACCTGGGTCTTCCCTATCATCTCTCTGAACACAAACTCAGAAGGGAAAGGTCAGCATACAGGAGCCAACCTTGGACCAGCTCCTCATTGACTCAGGCAGGCCTCTGTGCCTCTCATGTTTCCATGGTATATATTGGTGGCCACTGTCCAGGCACCTGGTAGATGGACAGTGCCTTCTGCTACTAAGCTGATCCATTATCAGCTGATCCAAAACTCAGGAGTGAGGCAAATGTCTTACCTACATTTGCAGATAAATGCACTTTTCAAATAGACTAAAATTTGGGTTTGGGATTGCAGCTCAGTGATGGAGGTATTATTTACAACTCCTAGCACAGTTTGTAACTAAAAATAAATTATATAAAGTGATCCATGCTATCAAATTAAGCATGGTGGCACATGTATTCGATTGCAGCACTTGAGATGGAGGCAGGAGGAACTGGAGTTCAAAGCTAGTTTGAGTTAAAATTATACCATAGCTCAAAAAAAAAAAAAAAGCTAAAAATAAGTAAATCTATTACTTAAAATGAATAAGAAGACATACAATGATCTCAGTGTTATAAGGAACTAGTTTTTTAGAAAGTGGCCTTGAGCACCTGGCATGTTTTCAAAGACAGGAAAATGTCCAGAAAACATAAAAATACTCAACATTCTTTGTTCAGGAAGGAGATGGAATCACCCACAGTGTGATTCCGCTTTTCCCCCACAGGGATGCCAGATTCCTAAGATCAGGCGATAACAAGTGTTGGTGAATATGGGGAGAAATTTAAGTCTTCACAACTGCTGGTGGGGCTGTAATATGGATGTAGCCGCTTTAGAAAGGCACGTCCTTAGAAAGTTTAATATAATACTACCTTACAGCTATGTCATTCCTAGACATAGGTCGAAGAAAAGAGAACAAATGTCCACACAGAACCTTGTCCAGAACACCATTATTCACACAGGCAGAATGCAGAAACCTAGATGTCCATCATAGATATGCAGATAAAACGTGCAGATAGGCAAGTCCATTCAGACGGAAAGTGGATTAGTGGTTGCTTAGGATTTGGGGATGAGGTAAGAAGTGGATTATGTAGCAAATGGCTGCAGGGTTTCTCTGAGATGGTGAACATGTTCTAAAATTAATTATGCTGTTTGCACAGCATTTATAAGGTCATATAGTTGTTTACTATATTGGAGTGAATTTGTATGAAGTTAGAATTATACATTATTGATAACAGCTTTTCAAGTGTTACAGAAAAAAAAGGTTAGCGAACAGTTTTTATTTCACAGTCCTTGGTTATTTTATACCTCTTCCTATTGGACTGCCATAACAGAATGAGCAGACTGTAAACAATGGATATATGTTTTCTCAGTTGTAGAGGTACAAGGCCAAGGTTCCAAGACAGTTCAGCTTCAGGACCCTGACTTGCAGAGGCCAGCCTTCTCACTGTGCACACAGAGAAAGGTCAAACTTCTGTCTCTTATGAGGACACCAGTCCTACTGGATCAGAGCTCTGCCCTTGTGACCTCATTTACCCTTAATTACTTCCTTAGAGACCTTCTTTCTAATCACAGCTGTACTAGGATTAGTACATAAGCATACCAGTTGGGGGTCTGTTCAGTTGGCTCTCACTTAGCGACCATCTTCACTGTGCTCTGGGCCTGCAGAACAGGTCTTGATCATGCATTCCAGCTTTGGTCCAGCTGAAATCAACTGTTGGTTCTCTCAACATCTGAAGATTCATCTCCAAGCTTTCCACGATGCCCTTTAGGCAATGTCCAGGAATTACTCAAGATAAAGAAGGGTAAGCTTGGAAGTAAACCCAGAGGCATCAGCAGGAGGATGTAATCAAGTTTGCAGAGATATACAAGTTCTCCAGCGTATTCAAGGAGAGAGGCAGCCTTATCACAGCAATATTCAGAAGCCACACCAGGCACAGAGAAAATGCACAGTTCAGTGACTGTCACATAGCACCGAGTTGTTGGTCCAGAGTCCCAAATACCAACTGGTAAGCCCAGTACAGCAAAGAGCAGGATGCAGAAGGTCATAGACTGCCTGTGCAGTCTTAGAGCATCCGAGACAGAGACCTGACACATGAACACATTCTGCTCACACTGGTCCTTTTAGGAGCACTAAGGGTAGGTAGCCCCTGACTGCTCTGGACCCACAGAGACAGCAAGACAGATACTGCACAGCACACAGAGCGCAGCCGAAGATTAAAGTATGGGGGAGTCCATTTGGAAGAGTAGTCCCATCCCTAAATTAAAATTTCAACTGATGAAAAGCATACAAATTGTCCTTTTTGTTGTTGTTTTTGAGATGGTCTAACTCTGTAGCCCTGGCTGGCCTAGAATTAAGTAGACCAAATTTACTGAGGTCTGCCTGCCTCTGCTTCCTGATTCCTTGGATTAAAGGCAACCTCCACAAGCCCTTAATTTTAAACTAAACCCAAAGGCAGGGTTCAGAAAGTAATGGATGAACATGCAGAGGCTCATGGAAGGCCATTGGGCATGTAAATTCAGTCTGTGAAGGTTTTGTGTGTTCATTTTTGTTTGCTTTTGAGACAGGTATCTACTGTAAAGCCAAATCTTGCCTTAAATTCATGATCCTCCTGCCTTAGCTTCTCTGTGGCAGGGATCCAGGCATGTGTCACTGTCTGGTTTTTAAGATTCTGGTCAGGTCACAGGTCTGTTTGGCTTACTTCAAATATCCACTGTGGCTCTGCTAAAATTACAGTTATGACTAAGATGCTTTGAAATTTGGCACATTGTCGAATGGCACTGATTTCAAACCACCAACCATTGATCCATTTTAAGGCACACCTCTTTTGTTTTTTTTTTTTTTTAATAATTATTTATTTATTTTATGTATGTGAGTGCTCTACCTGTATGTACACCTGTTTGCCAGAAGAGGGCATCAGATCACATTATAGATGGATGTGAGCCACCATGTGGTTGCTGGGAATTGTACTCAGGACCTCTGGAAGAGTAGTCAGTGCTCTTAATCTCTGAGCCATCTCTCCAGCCCTAAGGCACACCTTTTAAGATCAAAAGATGCCCACTACCCCTGGGAGCATCAGATGGTCCTCTGTTTCTCAGCTGTGTTTGGCTGAATGCTGTGGATTTAGTCAAACTTCTGACTTGCTGAAATGTGCAGAGGGTTTGTGGGTAATTTCTCACAATGGCATTATTAATAATACTATGACATCAATTAATGATCTCAGTATCCAAGAACTAGTAAACCTTCAGCTGCCCAGATGATCACTGCCACATACTGGAATATTAGGCAGCCACTTGGGGAAAAATACATGAAATCTTCACATGGGACAATGTTATAATAGGTAAAGAGAATAGGCTATTAGATAACAGGTAACATGATAGAATATATTGAACTCCATAAGAGAAATGTCATCAGTGGCCATTAACTGTAGAACTGGGGTTATTTTAATTTTACATTATGTATGAATAACTTTTTATTTTGGTTTTTCAAGACAGGGTTTCTCAGTGTATTCCTGGCTATCCTGGATTCACTTTGTAGACTAGGCTGGCCTCCAACTCACAGAAATCCACCTGCCTCTGCCTCCTGAATGCTGGGATTAAAGGCATGAACCACCACACCCAGCTGGAATACTTTTTATAAAAAAGAGGAGACCGTAGCTATTTTAGATGACAATAGCTATTTTATATTGGTTTGAGTAACTATCCATAAGGCTGAATAGTCTATCAAATTATCTTGACTTTATTCTATCCTTCAGTGATTCCTTGGTGGCATGAGATTCACCTCATGCCACAGGAAAGCTCTTTGGGAGAAAAGCATCTGCTTCAGATGAGAGCTGAAACAGGTTGGTTGCTGTGGAACAGCTTGCTTTCCTAGTTCCTATGTGTTGATTTAGCTGAGCTCTGAGGTCTCCAGTTTGTAGAACATTGCCCCTGAGTTTTCTTAGTCTGATTATATTAAATCGAGTCTCAAGGGCACGAATGACCAGCAGGAGAGAGTTATTTAAAGGCAGATACAAATGGGACCATAGAGATGGATGATGTCTTAAGAGCCTTGGTGGCTCTTCCTGAAGGCCTGGATTAGATCCCCACAAGGCAGCTAACAACCATCTTTAATTCCAGCTCCATGAGATCCAAAACCCTCTTCTGGTCTCTTGTGATGCACAGAAATACATGCAAGCAAAGCATATACATTAAAAAACAACAACAACAACAAAAACAAAAACAACTCAAGGAAATTAAAAAACAAAATCTTAACAGGCTCATATGCTTAGAAGAGTATCCTAACGGCCAGGTGGTGGCAGCACACACCTTTAATCCCAGCCCTTGGGAGGCAGAGACAGGTGGATCTTAGTCTGAATACAGCCTGGTCCACAGAGCTAGTCCCAGGAGAGCTAGGGCCACACAGAGAAATCACATCTTGAAAAACCAAAAAGAAAAAAGGCATTAAAAAATAAAAATAATAACCGCAGCTACAAGAAAGAACATAAAATTGGGAGAGCAGGGAGGGGAGGATTTGGGAGAAGTTAGAGGAAAGGAAAATATAATCAAACATATTGTATGAAATGTAAAGAACTTAAAAAAAATAAAAATAACTAAAAGCAACTACATCAGAAGACTATGATTTTTCAAACCAATACAGACACCTAATTTGGAATATATGAGAATTAATATAGTGTGTGCTTTTCTTCCATGATTTATAAATATGCACTGAAAAATATTCTGTCCTTTTTTTTTTTACAAGTCTCATCTTTGGTAAATAGTTGCCTTCTCAATTGGGTTATTATTTTATTCCTTTTGTTTTGGTTAGTTGTTGTTTGTTTGTTTGACGACAAGGTTTCTGTGTAGCCTTGGCTGTCCTGGAACTGACACTGTAGACCAGGCTGGCCTTGAACTCACTTCCTGCCTCTGCCTCCTGAATGCTGGGTTTAAAGAAGTGTGCCACCACTGCCTGGCTTTGTTTCCATTTTTTATTTGTTAAAATGAGTTTCAGTGTTTAATGGGTTAGTCTATAGCTCGGTGGTAGCCACTCGCCTATATTTTAGATCCTGGGTTTGACTTAAAGTAAGTGTTCAAAAAACAAATTAAAATTAAAAACTGAACATCAAAATTCATACTGCATAGATTATTATTACTCAAACAGTATAGTTTTCATTTTAGAAATTTCACATGACTTGTTTAACATCTTCAGGTCTGAAAGAGAATTTTGAAAGAGATTAGTTTATTTACATGATTTACATACCAATGAATTAATGATCAGTTACATTCAAGTGTAGTTTTCAATAAGATTCCACAATTACCAGTAATTGCTAAGTACTTATATGGGTAAAATCCAGTATAGAGAAACACTTGAATGATAGATTTTCCTTTTCTTCAGATAAGAGTCATCATGGATCTGGAGTTCAGACTGCGTGAACAGCATGCACTCTGCAGCCAGCGGAGCAGCAGCATGGAGTCGGCGTCTGTCACTGGGCCTAACCCCCCTCAAATGTAAGGGTGTGGGCCATCCCCCCAATGGGAAGCCCTGTGTGACAGCCCCCAGCCAAAAGCAAGCACAAGTTGGTGAAAGCATTCTCATCACTTAGGTCTTTAACCTGAGCAATTTTAACAGCGCTTAAATAATCTTTAAGTACTTGGCTTCAGCCATGTTGTCTTTAGTGACTGTGTGTTTCAAGGAAGCAAAATTGTGACAGTTACAAACACTCAGTTTGACATGTAGGTTTAAATCTAGCCAGTTCACCCTGCTTCGTGACAGCCAGTGTACCAGGAAGAGCAGGCCTGCCTGTTGCTGCTGTCACCCTACTGCTTTGGTCTCAGAAGATAGGAATTTGATGGGGGTTGGAGGGGTGGGGGATGGGGGGGTTGCAATCCATAGTACCTGAAGGCACCTGGCTGAGCAGGACGTGTCTGACAGTACCTTTGTAGGGAAAGGTGCGTGTTTTGCCCGAAGTTAGAGACTTTACATTTGTTTCGTCATTTTGAGTGTGGGGAGTGGGATCTTCCTATGCTGTCCATGCTTGTTTTTCCAGGGCTGTGAAGCTACCGTTTTGGATATTCGTGCAGCATTGATAGGCGACCTGGCTCTGATTTCGATGCATAGGTAGGGGTAGTTTGCCATAAACTGATTGTGAGGCAGAGCAAACGAAGGTATTTAAATTGTTCAGTGCCCATGGTGAGGGGCAGAAGTCGAGGGTAGGGATTGGAGGGGTGAATGAGAAGACAGCAGAATGTCATTTGTGTATAACAGTGTCACAATGGGGCCTGTGAGCTGGCTCAGGAGATGAAAATGCCACCAAGCCTGATGACCTGAGTTGGATTCCTAGTAGCCACACGGTGGACGAGAAGCAGCTTGCACAAGTTGTCTGTACTCTTGATTTCCACATTTGTGTTCTCACACATGCTCACATACATGCATGTACACATACATATATAAACACATAGGCTAGACCTTAAGAAATAAAAGTGCCATAATGCATTCCATCCATCTGCATGCTAATATAAATACGTTCACTGAAACCATGTATATATTCAGAACAGCGTGTCATAACAAGCCAAAGTATTTTACAAACTGTATATCCATGTGTGTCATATGGGCATATAATATGTACAGTCTACGCCTGAAACATCATTTATTTGCTCCTTAAGACTGAAATTCCTTAGAAAGGGAATGTTTCTATGGCAGAGGCTCAGTGTTGTCCTCCAGGCTGCTCATGGATATGATAAGGGCTCAGTTCAGTGTGACTTCTTTAAGTGATCCAACAAATACATTATCCCAGACAGGATTGACTAGCTACAGTGTTGCATTCATTATAATTTATATTGTGACTAAACACTGACTTAAGGAGTAAGGGTGAAAAATACTTGAATAAAATCTGATTTTTAAATGAGAGTTTTCATTTGAAATGTGTGCCTTTTAAGGGATCATGACCATGCTTTCATTGTGAAAGAGCACTTAGAAGAACCTCCCATCGGTCCTAAAGACTTTTCATGTAATGACCAGGGGCAGTAATTCACTAGTGATGAGAGCAGATACACAAAAGGCGATTTCTTAATGCTGGCCTTACCGTTTGTTCTTTGATAGAATTCTCAATTCCAGCTTGAACCATTAGGTCATCCACATTTTTCTGTAAGTCCTCGATGCGATTTCCCATTTCTTCCAGTACAATGTCAAGGAGAATGGCACAGGTGATCCAATTGGCCTGCCTCATGGATGCAGCCTGCTTCAACCTGCGCCTGCTCCAACCTGCGCCTGCTCTGCTCAGGGTCGCTGGACATGTGGAGCGCAGTGTTCACATGAGGGAGTCAGGCTGTCCGAAGTCAGTGTCATCACCCTTCCCTCAGCGTTCTTAGCACATTGTCTTTAACCCTCAGCTGTGGACCAAGTTTTGAAAATGGCTCCCCCAGCTTGTACATAATAGGCTCAAGGACTTGAGTTCAGTAAGTTTTAGCTAAGCCCTGAGTTTAAATGTGATGAAAACTGGCTCTTTTTAAAAGTAATTTCCTTGTGGTTTATTTTTTAAAAAAGATATTTGGTGGTGTGTGTGTGTGTGTGTGTGTGTATACAATGACACAGGTTTGAAGGTCAGGGGATGACTTTTGGAGACAATTCTCGCCTTTAAGATGGGTCCCATGGACTGAAGTAAGGTTTGGCAGCACGCTTACAGGCTGAGTCACCTCAACAGCCCACTTCACTTGGTTTATTATTTAAGATCTACTTATTTCTGTGTATAAGTATCTTGCCTGGATGTATCTACGTTCACCACAGACATGCCTAGTGCCTGAGGAGACCAGAAGAGGGTATAGGTTCCCTTGAAACTGGAGTTACAGATGGTTGTGAGCCACTGTGTGGGTGCTGGGAACCAAACCTGGGCCCTCTGCAGGAGCAGCAAATGCTCTTAACTGCTGAGCTATGTCCCCAGGCCTTGCACCTGATTTTTTGAAAAGTGAATTTAATCATGTGAAAGTGTTTAACATGGGCAAGTGTTAGGGTAGTGTTAACCTAGAGTTACACAAACTGTAAACATTCTATTTTATTTTTAAATTTTATAAAATAACTGTGTTCTAATAAATTCACAGGTAAAACATCACACAACTAGTCACAACTAGTCAGACACTTACCTAGTCCTAACTGGCCACTAAACATCTAGAGGTTCATTGACGTGTAGAGTTCAGGACTGAGCGTCACATTCTAATTGTTTGATCTCATTCCTCTGAGATGAAACACTGAAATGCTTGTTCCAGTTCACAAGCTAGGGAGGGAGAACCTTCCTTCCTAAAGGAGACCTCAGCTCTGCTCTCCAAGCTGTGGAGTCTGGGTTGCAAACCTGATGGTTCAGCAAGGCTTGCTCTGCCAGGGCAGGGCATTTGGTCCCTGAGCTCTGTACTAGCCATTCAAGTTCCTGCTCTACCAGTCAAGCAGGAAGCAAAACCTACCACACCGGAATGATAGTCTGCACACCCAGATGCCACAGAAGCACAGATGTGAACACCAGGAAGTCATGTGTAAACAATCAGATACTTAATAGCAGAGAACTAGACACTACCCCTCCCAATCTGACAATCCAATGGCTTTAGAGTGTTTAGTGAAAACAGGAAAGGATATTTTTGAGGTTCAGTGTTGTAGTCAGAGCTCGGAAATGTTCTTCAAGCTCCTGAAGTAGATTTTCTGCCTGAAAAATGAAGCTCGGGTAACTGAATAAGGTATTTATTTTTGGTGTAGGGCATTCTAAGTATCATGAAATACTTAAACATACATGCCCATTGATTTTGTTGCTGTTTATTGAGACAGGGCCTCCCTGTGTAGCCTTGACTGGGCTAGAACTCACTGTGTGGACCCAGCTGGCCTCCAGCCTGCAGTGTCTCCTTCTGCTTCGCAGTGTTAGGAATGTAAGTATTCCCCACAGGGCAGGGCACTTGTTTTGGGGCAGGGTCTGCTTGTGTACCTTAGGCCCTGAAACTCAGATCTGCTTCCCTCAGCTTTGGAGCACTGGGATTACAGGGCTGTGCCAGCACGAACAGTATGATGGACATGGCCTAAAGCATGAGAGTGGACCTGTAAAGCTCACTGTCAACACAGGAAACAGTCACCCGTTGCTACAGTCCATGGTGAGTCAAGGCCCCATTGGGGTCTTCGTTTTTGCTTTGGCTATTTAATTGCACACAGCATAAAACATACAGAAAGGCAATGCGGAGACTGCTAAGCGTTCAGTTTGATACTTTATAGTCCACACACCCTGTGAGTCTACCTTGTGTGATCCTTGTCCCAACACTTGCAAAGCCCATAAAGATGGAAGCGCATGTCCTCGAACTCGGATCCTGAGCTCCTCTGTGCAGGTTTCCTGTGGCAGGCGGCCTTTCTGAAGAATGTAAATGACGTGGACTCTAACAGATTCTTTTAAACTGGACTAGCATGAGGACCTGCCATGGAGACAGACTTGCTACAGCTGGGGCCGGGAACCACTAGGCTGGGAAGGAAGGGGGCAGGGCTTGAACCTAAGGCGGAGCCTTTATGAGGCAAAGGAGGGGTGGGCGGGATCTGGGACAAGAGGCGGGACTTGGAGGAAGGGAAAGAGGCTCTTAGACGAAAGTACACCTGACTAGAGACTTGGGACAAGACTCAAGGATGGGGAGGAGGGTAAAGCACATCAGCCAGGTATGGGACAAGGATCCAGGCTGTGTAGGAACAAGTTTCATCTCGAGCCGCCCAGCGTCCGCCATCACTCTTGGCTCACGACTTTGGTTCCCTAGCATCCCCACGGCTGCTGCCTCGATCGGTTTCAGCACCGTAAAGCCGGCGACTAGCCGGCGACCTTGGTCCGTAGGCCCTAGGGCACGCGTCACTTACCGCGCTCTGCAGCAGGTCCCCGCTGGGGACTTCCGGCGCCCGGGCGTCCATCCACACCAGCCTCGCAGTCCGGGGCCCTGGGTCTTCAGTGGACCCAGCAGCTGTCGCGCTCCCGAGTGGCCACGGGGAAACCCGGAGAGGGAGCGCGGGGGCAGGTTCGGACCAGACCAGCAGCTGGCCAATCCGGCTTTACTGGGTGTTTTCATCCTTCAGAGCAGGTGACCTGGGAGGAATCCTGCCAGTAGTTACTCATTCTTGTTACTGTGGCACGATAAACGCGAACAGGACAGTGAGCACCCTCCCCACTTGTGAACGCAAAGTACAAATACATTAACCACACTCACCCTGACCCTCCAGGGTTTTGGTCTCACACTTGATCCTCAGTGCCCATCAAACAGCAAGTGGCTCTCCTCTTACTCTTGGGACCACACCCTTCTCGCTTTTGACTAGGTCCAATGTTTCATGTGATGCGTCTCCTCTTACTGGGGACCCCGCAGCGGTCAACAACCGATGACACGCTACACTGGGCAACCGAATCTGTTACAGCAAATCTGTCACCTCTGAAGATCTAAGGATGTCAGTTTCAGAACTGTCTCCACTGATGCTCAGCCCTCCAAGTCTGGTTTCACTGCGGGAAACAAGATCTCAGAAGCCCTTTCCATTTTAGATCTGAGCCGTGGCGCATGCGTCACCCTGTGGCTGATTTCCCAGGACCTGCTTTGTTTACACATCTGCACACCCTGCGCTGAAAGCTGAAGGCTGTGTCTATTTAGGCCACTGCAACACCTGTAGAGCCTCGTTCAGAGATAACACATGGTTGTCAAGTATACTACAGGTGTGTTTCAATTGATGGGGGCAGGGCGGCTAAATAGGTGGTTCACAGGTTAAAGGTTAAAGGCACTTGCTGCTTTTGCGGAGGCCTAGGGTTTGGTTCCCAACACCCCTACATGGCTGCTCAATAGCTCCTGTTTCAGATCTAATGCTTCCTGGCCTCCACGGGCATGGCATGCACATAGTGTGCCTACAAACATGAAGAGAAAACATTCCAACGCAAAAAATAAAAACAAATACATTTAAACACTCAAACAGAACAAGGCCTCACAGACAAAGGCTCCTGGCACTGCTAATTATCAGCCTGCATGGACTCCTGAGGCCCCTTTGGAAAACACAGGTAAACAGGGCTCACCACAAGGCTACCTTCCACTGCTAGGTGCGTGCATGGAACAGCAGCACAGAGCCACACAGAAACACGCACTCCTTTGTAGCAGTGCTCATGCAGCACTGGAGGAGGGAACAAGATGGACATACAGATGAGGCCTGCGCAATGTAAATACTATTCAACAGCGAAAGGGGCGTAGTGCTGGCACTTATAAAACATCCAAGGAGGCAGGCCACCTGCGGGATGACTCCACTGTAAAAACACCAGTGACTGACGGATGCCAGAGACAACACCTGAGTGGTTGCTGCAGTGTGAGGGGGGACGTGGGCGCGGCTGCTTCATAGGTCAGGGGTTCCTTCTTGCGGAACAAGTCCCCTGACATGAGATTGCCGCAACAATCTGTGTAGATACTAAAAAATCATTGAATTACTTACTTTGAGTGAATTTTTACAGTGTGTGAATTATATATCAATTAATGTGTTTAAATGGTAAATTTTAAAAATATGAACGTTTTGCCTTTTGGGTCTGTGGTGGTTTAAATAAGAATGACCTCCATAGGCTCATATTATTAGGGAGTGGAACTCTTTAAAAGGATTAGAAGGATTAGCAAGTATGGCCCTGTTGAAGAAAATGTGTCACTGCGGATAGGATATGAGTGTCATCCCCACCACCCAGGGTTTCTCTGTGTAACAAGAGCTCTGGCTGACTTGGACTGGATTTGTAGACTAGGCTGGCCTTGAACTCACAGAGACCGCCTGTCTCTGGAGAGTGTTGGGATTAAAGGTGTGCCACCATATCTGGCTGAGCTTTCAGGTTTTAAAAGCCCATGCCAGGCCCAGCCCCCACCTCTGCCCCTGCACCAGCAGATCAGGATGTAGCTCTCAGCTACTTCCCCAGCCGTGTCTGCTGCCCTGCTCCCCACCATGACAATAGACTAACCGTCTGAAACAGTAAGCAAACCCCCATTTAAGTGCTTTCCTTTACAAGAGTTGCCTTGGTCATGGTGCCTCTTCACAGCACTAGAGCAGTGACTAAGACACAGTCCTTTACGTGTCATTTTCCGGGGGGCGGGGGGGAGGACTGAGACAGAAATTACTGCTGCTGTGACTAGTACCAACTGAAGCCTGAGTAGAGAGAGGTGCGAGAGCTGGCCCTGCGTGGCCCCCAGTCAGCCTCTGTGGTTCGGCCTGAGTCGGGCTGTGCAGCAGTGCCTGACTTCTCCTTGTGGGCCGCTGTGAAGAGATGTGGGGAGAACAGCCTATGGCCGCCCACAGGGACTGTGGAACTACAGTCTTACCCAGGGTGTCCAGTTGGTAGCATTCCACAGCTTCAAGGCTCAGGATTTACCAGGACCACTTTAAGGAGGAAATGTTGAAAATAAATGGTGTCAGGCTCAATATGTTTATAATTATTACAGTGGTATTATTTAACCCACTGCCATAATCAATCAGTAAGACAGACATCTAATAGATTGTATAATTACCTTAAAACAACTTGGGTATGGCCTATTACCTCCCAAGCTACCTGCCATTATCTCCTAGCCAGCATCCCATTCCATCTGCTTTAGTCATTCCTAACTGGCCTGCCTCCTGCCCATAATTCCATAAATAGTTGCTTAGCCTTCATCTGGATTGCTCCTTTCCCTGTCACTTTCAGAGTCCTTCCTCCTGGGCCACGTGGTTCCTTTTTCTAGCTAACCCATCATGGGTGCCTCTTCTCTCCTTTCTTCCTGTCATTCCCAAATCAGAAACCTTAGCCACGCCTACCTTCCTCTGCCCTGCCCAGGTACAGGACTTTTCATCAACTTATCAGGGATCTTGGGGAACATTCCTTCTCTTCACATAGTTGTAGGAGATAGTTCAACATTTTAACAATATTCATTGGAGGGCGGTAACCAGATCTCAGGGCACTGAAATCAGCATTTGAATACATAGTACCAGACCAACCTCCAACGAGGAAAGAGAAATACTCCTGGAGAGACAAGACCAAGGCTTTACTTGGCTGGCCTGGTCTGTCACAGCCCAGAGCAAATGGTCTTCCAGTTAATAAAAGGCACGAGGCCATTTCACGGTGGTGTCCCTCCCTTGGGCCTTCTCAGTTCGAAGAATGGTGTTTCTGACATTCGCTGCTAACAGAGTCAGCCTCAAGCAGGGTGTCAGAGAGCTGGTTGACACCATGGAGACAGATTCGGTTCAATGCAAGCAGTGGCAGAGCCTTGCTGGAGTTTAAGCTAAAGGGGGACCACATCCTCCACACATTTTGCTTTCTACATTGCAGACAGCATAAACAGAGCCTGGACCACAGAAGCCAAGAACCAGACACACAGACTAGCAGAGTCTATACCCACCAGTAAGGTCTCCCTGGAGGCTCCCAGTCATGGCTGGTGACCAGACTAGCCAGAGCAGAGCCAAATGGCATCTAGATAAAGCATAGTCCAGCAAGCTATGAAGCCAAAGACCCCTAGACCCCACCAGGTAGACAAGAAGTCTCTTCCCAGGGTGGGGGAGGAGTGAGGTTCTGTTGCAGAAAACTTAGGACCACTCCTTAGGAAGGCTGACAGGCTTCCCAAGAAAGGAGTAAGAGCCCAGGGGGCTCATGACCCCTCTTCAATAGAGAGAAACAACCATGGGATCATGGAGTGTTTCCGAGGAAAGTTCCAGAAGTGGAACCATTGCAGAGAGTCGTGCTGTCCTTGGTGCAGTTGGGGTGAGATAGAGACACTTCTTGGGATCACAGGATCAAGACACAGGGTTAAAGAAGTGCATTTTGGTGCAGCTCCTAGCCTGCCTTTCCTGATCACCATATATCCACAAGCAGAGTCCTGCTTCTCGGTGTGCCTCCTTTCACTGGGCAGGACAGAGGTGGCAGGCAGGAGGAGAGGGGGCTCCATCTTGCTTTCTCTCTCCTCCCCCACCTCCATCTCTGTCTCTGTCTGTCTGTCTGTCTGTCTCTCTCTCTTTCTCTCTCTCTCTCTCTGTGTGTGTGTGTGTGTGTGTGGTGAGGGCCCTCAGGCTTTCTGGGAGGCACCAAAAGAAGTTATTAGGCAGGAGATGGAGGTGCACTCACTTTATCTGGGAAGTAGAGAGATCTGATCATTGGGTCAGGAGCAAGAGGCCAGGAAAGGGCCTCAGAGCAACAAGCCTCCTTGCTTCAGCAGAAAAGACAGTCATGCCAGAGACTACTGCAACAAGGAAGGTGCTCCGTTATATTCTGTGAGGGAACGATGATTGTCCTGAGACCATGGAAGGCCCTATACACACATGCCTGTGGAAACTCAACATTTGGGGCCTTGGTGGGATGATGTAACCAAGGCATGAAGCCCGAACAATTTATCCTAAAGAGCACAAACTAATTTTCATTGTCATAGAAGTACCTCTTTCTACCCAGATAACTGGATAGCTAGATACATAGAGGAAAATATCTAACTAAAAATAGATCAATGAGCTAGACATAATAGCTAAAATTGTAAAAGCTTTAAAAGATATGCAGAAGGTTGGGAGGCTATGATGTTGGATTTGGCGATGGTTTCCTGGATATGAATCTAGGTTCAGGAAAATTCTATAATAGAGCAGATCATGTGGATTTGTTTGGTGAAAATCAGCCTTCACTTTGATTGTATAGATTTCAAGTTTAATAAACACTAAAGCAAAACCTACTCTACAATATTGCCTCTTGGTTCTTTAAAATCTTCCTTTCTAGCCAGGCAGTGGTGGTGAACACCTTTAATCCCAGCACCTGGGAGACAGAGGCAGGTGGATCTCTGTGAGTTAGAGGCCAGCCTGGACTAGAGAGTGAGTTATGGGACAGCCAGGGCTACACAGAGAAACTCCGTTTCAACAACAGCAAAGAGCACCGCCACCACCACCACCACCATCAACAATTAAAAAACAACAAAAAGCAAAAAACAAACAAACAAACAAACAAACAAAAAACAAAACAAAGAGACATTTTAAGATGCAGGCAAAGCAATGATGTTCTAAAAGGGATTCCAAAAGCCCAGGAAATAAATACAAGAATTGACAAAGGGAACTGTGTAAAATTAAAATCCATCTTGTGTACAGAAAGGGAATGAATGAGCAGAGAAAAGAGAAAAAGACAGCCCACAGAGCAGGGTGGAAATCCCAACAGAAAATTAATACCCAGAATATATTAATAACCCAACTTTTATCAAAATCAAGAAACACAATCAAAAAGGGGCAAATGACCTGAATAGATGCTTCTCAAAAGAATAAGGAGAAATACCAATTATCTTTCAGAAGGAAGCAAAATCAGCATGCAAAAGAGATGTTTACACATGTAGATTTATTTAGGATATTCACAGTAGTCAAGATGGAATCAGTCCAGGTCCTAGGAGTGCGTGTGCACACAATGGAGTTTAGCTGTGAAGAATGGACTGTCACTTGTAGGAGCTAGAGGTAAGCATACTGAGCAAAATAAATCAGACATGCGAAGACAAATACAGCATGTCTCCTCGCATATTCAGAAG